CTTCAAAACATTAACCGCCTTGTTTAAACATTTCTGCCAACTATATTTTATATGAAATTAATGAAAACCCCAACTACATTCTGTGTTTCTAATATATTTTCAAGTGAACTTCCATCACCAGGTCTGTTGTGGTCTGTACAAATTGCTCATCTTTGTTTTATTATATGCAAGTCCTTACTTTATGCTACTGCAGCTAAAATAAATAAGCAGCTCTTGCTCTGTGTATTTTTGGTGTGCAGTCCTTCTGTTATTGTTTCCACCCGAATCTAGTTTTCCTTTGCAAGCCTACTCCAAAAAGAACTTGACCCTAGAGCACCATCAGTTTTGATTGTGGCTTTCCAACTTTAATTGTTTCATTGCTGATTTATTTATATATTAAGGCTAAAGTGGAAGTAAAACTTAACAAAGAAGACATCACTGTAGGTCTAACTATTCCTGGAAAAGTATGTTTAAGGACTCAACTTCCAAAAAGAAGGAGAGGGCAGGTTAGGAGAGTAGTTTGAATTAAAGATAGTTGAATTATAATCCACGGCCTCCATCACTGGAAGAACATCAAGCAATCTTAGATGGCACTTCTAGGATGAGCCCTCCTTTTACCACCAAAGATAGAACAAGTGGGCTGTTGGGAAGCCTAATTCTCAAGAGACATTTATACTCAACCTTTTCCAGAAAGCTGTGAGATAGAATTAAGATTTCTTAAATTAAGGGATTTATGCCTTGTAGGAAAAAATCCATATCCGTATTTCCTGAATTTTATTTCAGCCTTACTTTCATGCAGCTACACTGTATTTTAGCAAAGTCATTTTCAAACTGTAGTAGTGTGTCAAAGGCAGCATTGTGTAGTAATTGAAACACCTGGCTACAGCTCTGGAGATCAGGATTCGAATACATTCTCACATTATCTTAGCCTGTGTGGAAACTTCCTCTGGAAAAAAAACCTTGCTAAGAAAACCTTGTTATAGGATCACCATAAGTAATTGAAGAAGCACAACAATAATAGCATCATGTCACTTCAAACTAAAAACAAAACTTCTTGAAGATGCCAAATGGAGTGTTATGTAGCTGGTGACCTTGGCATTTAAAGTTGGAAGATGGGTAGTTGAGAATGACAAGTTGCAGTGTTCCAGTCTCCATAAAGACCTAAGTGTTTTTCTAAGCCTGCTGCATACGTGAGCAGTTAGGTCTATGGTGTGCTGTATATTGAAGGTAGGCATATATGTTACTCTACGAACTGATGAGTTCCCACCAAATATACTTTCTGGCATGAACCAGTTTAATGTTTTCATTATTTGCAGTAGCTGATATCCTTGTGTAGATAGGATGTGTAGTTTCTGTTGTTGCCATGTTTTTATTTATTTTAGAATTGTGCTTAACATTTTCTCTGGCATGTCAGTAAAAATGGACGAAATATCTGCTGGTTAGATTTAATGCATGGAATAGCTTTTTGTTCATCAGCTTGTTCTGGCATCCCCTAGTTACAGTTTTTGCCAAAGTTGGCAATGACAAAGCAGGCGAGTCATTAAAGAAGGAATGGTGCATAATTCACCAGAGGACAGACCCCTTTTGTGAGTCATATAAGTCGTTCCCACTTCTGTGGAAAAATATTACATCATTGCCTTGCTCAGTGTTCTATTTAAACGATAGCAGAATTTCAAGTACATTTGGCTTTTTTTAGCTGGAGTAAACAGTGACAGGAGTTTGTCTCAAAGCAAAGCTGAGCTACGCCTTAGAAGGAACAATGTTGAATCAAATATTTACACAGTGGCCAGAAGAGGAGGATATTCTCTCATAAGAATAACTTGGGATGGTCGGAAAGCTTCGGCTTGCTCTGTATGCTACAGTCTTTCTCTAAAAAACTTTAAAAATATTTTCACCTATGTGATTAAAGCTGGAGGAAAGACCTGAAGAATAGAATCTCTGCATCGTTTGTAATATCCCTCCCACCTTTCCAAAAAATCAGTCCCTTAATATCCTTTATTGGCAGTCTTTTGGAGCCTTCTCCAGGTTTGTGGTCCAGAACATCTACTGAACAAGGAAGGGAATTGCAGTCTTCCAGGCTGGGAGAAGCCTTTTCTATGGATTGTGTCCACTACGGTCATTCCACCAGAACAGAACTTCTGTCTTTTCTGATTTTCTTTTCTCTGCAACTGCCAAATCCAGTGCCTTGATTTTGTTGGTGTGAGCCATTTAACAACCATTTACTCATTCATGAGGCTAGGTTTTGCTAGCGCTTGCACAGTTGCTAGTTGAACAGTTTTGTTACATTTTTTTCTTGCTAGCCTTAGCTTTGGATACAACCATATGCAGGCAGTCCCCAACCTTTCAAAAAAATTGCTTGTTGTGGAAAACAAGAATTGATGATAAAGCTTCAGTTGAGACACTTTTCCCCCATGACAACTCTTTCAGGAGTGAATTTCCCTTCCTAGAGGCAGATTTATCTCACTTCCTGTTGTCTCATCCCCTGTTCTTAACTATGAATCATTAGCAAATTGGATGTTTGTAACTCAGAGACTGCCTGTATCTGCTTCAGGTTAAAAATGGCAATTTCTTCACAATAAAATAAGTTATTTACCCTATATACTCATGTATAAATCTAGACATGCTTGTTAGTCTCTCAAAACTATGGGCCATTATAGCTACTGTACTTTAACTCTTACAAAAAAAGGAACCATCCCTTTCTCTGAGTGGAGCGGGAGAAAGCACCTGTGAGAACCTGAAAGAAGCACCAATCCCCTCTACTGTCTCGTTTGTGGTACTGCTTCTGTCTTTATTGAATTCCTAGGTGGGGAAATGGTGGTGGTATTAATGGGTGACTGGCCCGCTGAGGTGGCATTCATGCTTCCACCGCAATGTAAAATGACCCTCAATTTATCCACAGGTTGTATCAAAAACCGCAATTTTAGCCTCAAATTGTGCCCTATCATATGCACGAGGTTGGCTTATATGCAAGTATGTACGATAATTTATGCTCCTAGAAATGCTAATGGCTATTCATCATTCTGAATTCTTTGGATCGAAAGATAACCATTAAGTTAGACACCACTGTGCTGCATCCTGTACAACTCTGTGGAAACAATACTAGCACATTATTTCCATTGGGTCAGTCTCTGCAACACAAGTTTGGGGTATTTCCATTAGAACTGCCACCTCAAACCATCAATTCCTTGCCTATCTTCATTTTGCTCGGTGTGGTCCATCTAGTTTTACAGTATTCACATTTCTGGAATAGGCAGAGTAAAGCAGTGCATATTTCTTCTCCTTGAAGACATTTTTGCACCTAGTATAGAGAGTTCCAATTGTTAGTTCTTCCCAGGGTTTTTGACTTGTCTTTGAGGGGAAGCCTTTTCTGAGTCATAATTTGGAAAATAGCTGCAACTTCATAATACCAGTTGCTTTGGCACATTTGGTTTATGAATCATGCCTATATCTGGATTCTTTGCTAATGACTGATTATTTCCTTTTGCTACATATCTTGATAACAAGCCAGCAGCTGAGTATCTGAGTGCACTTCATTAGCAGCAAAGCAGCTTTCACAGTTTATGCTAACTAGACCTTTAATACATGCACACACATATACACATACTGGGAATTTGATACACAGCCAACACATTCTCTCCACTTACGTCTACAGTCTTGACTTTACTACTTTTTTAGGGAGGCCATAGTTATAGAACTTTGAAATTGAGCTTACTGTAAAATTGTATTAAGGATCACTCTGCAAAAGGAAATAGTTCTGAATAGGGCCTTAGGAGATTATCTTTCCTTACTGAAAAAAATTACAGATGATCAATTTTAGTGTTTTTTTCAATAAGCTTATAAATTCATTCAAGAAATCTACAGTAGTTAACAGAAAGACTACCTTATCTTAAGCTTGAAGTCTAATAACCTGTAAATATATTTAAATCAAGTACATTTTAGTAATACTGAAAGAAGTTTAGGGTAACAGTTTGATAAACACATAATGATTCCTTTCACGTCCATGAAAAAAACAACTATCAGTTTGAGCCACTTAGTAAAATGTGTTTTTCATGAACTCTGTCTCAGATTCTTCTGTTTGGGCTTCCAATTCTCATTATATTTGCCATATTTAATTAGTCATGTGTGAGGTTTGTGAAAATGGGTCCTATACAAATGTAAGGCCATTTTGCACTAGCCACAATGTCTTTCTGAGCTGTTCCCAAGTTCTGAATTTAGTTGCATGCTAGGCATTTAAAGAAGACTCAGAAGTTATTTATTTTTGGTGGGAAATGGTGTCTCAACAAAATGGCCAACCAGTGTGAAATTCCTCATATTTGGAGATGCTTTTGTGAAATGAAATGGTTGCACAGAAGGCTTGTTTTAGGTTCAAAAATGGTGCCTGCGTGCAGAAAATAGTTTTGTACAGTTGCCCGTACAGCAGAGTTTGATAATGTAAGCTTCTTCTTTTTTTTTTCATTAAAATGGTTTGAAAAAAATCTGGACAATATACAAAAAAAAGTCTCATTCTCACCGAAAGGAGGAAACATTTGAAGCTAGCTATAATTCTTAAGAATAATTATTCTTGTCCTCAAGAACCTCCCTTTGCACACTGCTATGAAGCTGTTCTACTAAATGCTCTTACCTAGTTATTTTCTTGAGTTCATGTGGGAAAAAAACCTTCAGCTTTTGGTGTCTGTGGTGCAGGTTGGTAGCTCCTTTCTGACCAATTCAGTTTTGATTACTTCCTGAAAACATCTTGGGCTGAGAATTGATGTCATACCCTTAGAAATGTTTAAATTGTCAATGACAAAATAGTATCATTGTCCAAGTATCATCACAGGTTTGCTAGCATAGACATCACACCCTAGAAGTCTCACTAACACACACTCTTGCTCACATATTAATTTTGTAATACGTACTCCCCCTCTGCTGCCATTTTTGCTATACTACAAAGTGAAACAATTATGAAGACTTTATTTCTGTAAATGTATGGGTAGGTTTCAAAAGGAAGAAACTATAATATAACCTTTTTACATATTCAGGTGACAGAGTCATTGATGTAGGGTCGGAATGGCGAACGTTCAGCAATGACAAAGCAACCAAAGACCCATCCCGAGTTGGAGACACCCAGAATCCTCTCCTGAGTGATGGAGACTTGACTACAATGATTGGCAAGGTAGGATATTTAATCATACAATTTCTTTCTGTTTAATGCACAAAACAAGAAGTTTTGATCCAGCCCTTTATTTCATAATCCAAAAAATAAAATAAATAATAACAGTACAGGCGGTTCCCATGTTATGAACAAGATTGGTTCTGTAAGTTTGTTCTTAAGTTGAATTTGCTGGTAAGTCAGAACAGGTGCATTTTTATAGTGCAACTCCAGTCAAAAATGTGTATTTTTTAAAGCTTTGGATATTATAGAAAAGGGCTAACATCCCTGTGGAGTTTGTTTTGCTGTCTGTGCCCCTTTTCAGAAGATTCCATCTCCCTTTCTGTCGCCATATAACAATTAATGCTGCGCTTTGTTGTGAGGCTTAAGACTGTATTATAATTTGATTACATTAATTCCTTAATCGATGGATCCTTGACTAATGTTTGCTTTGTCAGCTGATCAGATCTTTCCTTGGGATGGCTAGGTGACTTGGAGTTGGAGTTGAGATGCTTGGAAATGCATTCCATCTCACCTGTATCTTCCTTGAAAATGTCACATTGGCATAATGCTTTGCTTATCTTTGGTACAATTGTGGAGCTTCCTGTTTTTGCCACCGTGATCTTCCATTCTCAGGAGAATAGGACTGTAGGCAGTTCCTTCATGAAGATGCTAAATGCTCAGAGGAGGGATAGTCTTTGAAAAAGGAGTAAAAGCAATGGTTGGGACAACATTGTACCATAATAAAATACATATCTGACTTCTATGGGAAGCCTTTATGATGACATATTCTGTTTCTGTACATAGGTGTTACCTGTCAGATTCATATGTAATAAGTAGGGTGGTGCAGTCCCATATAGGCTTCTAATACTGATAAGATAAGCAAAACTATAACAGCTACCTAAAGGCTGTATCATTTGTAATTTTTAATTATCTTATTACTGAGACATTATAAAAGGTGCTGGTTAGAACATATTTGAGTGCCTCCCCTTCTCCACCCATCACACACAAAAAACCTCTTAATATATTAGACTCATATTCAATGAGTTCTGATGTTTTGTGAACCCTTCTTCTGCAGGGCACAGGGGCAGCCAGTTTTGATGAATTTGGGAATTCAAAGTATCAAAACCGCAGGACCATGAGCAGTTCTGATCGCGCAATGATGAACGCATTCAAAGAAATTGCCAGCATGGCCGACAGAATCAACCTCCCCCGAAATATAGTTGTAAGTTCATGCCTTTCTCTTAAATTGTTCTGGCGTTTACTTAGTTAGCATAATATAATGAGCACATGAATTTTTGATATTATTGCTAATTAAATGGCCCGGAGTTAATTAAATTTTGTCTGCTTGCTTTGAAGGATCGAACAAATAATTTATTCAAGCAAGTGTATGAACAGAAGAGCCTGAAGGGAAGAAGTAATGATGCCATTGCCTCCGCTTGTCTCTATATTGCCTGCAGACAAGAGGGGGTTCCTAGGACATTTAAAGGTAAGCTAGCAGTACTGTGAGCGTCCAAATACTCTCCACTGCCATATGTCTGACTGGTGCAAATGGCCACTGTATTTTTTATTGGCCAGGAACAGTTAAACTAATCCTCTAATTCTATGAGCTGACTTTGTTTTCTATGAGCTTCTCTTTTGCAAAGGTGAATATGTTATTCTGTTAAATGTAGGACTTCGAATGATTGGATAGAAACTAGCCAGATGGATGATGTTTAGATGTGCCCAGAAATGTATGTGTTAAGTAGATGAGGGTGGGCAAGGGGCATGTCCTGTTAAGTACATTACAACTTTTTACAACAAGGAAATTTTCAAAAGACAGTTTAGAGCAAACTGCAACTGACATATGTTAGCACGATTTCTGGTTATATAGAACTCTTTCTGGAATGATTTTGAATGTTTGGTAGCATAATATTGTTCACCTTTCCTTAAAACTTCAATGATTTCTACACCCAGTACTTGCTTTAAGTCTGTAGAAATGTGACCTGTGTTGTATTTTAGGCCTCTAGAATATTTTTCAGCACCCATATATTATTTGTTTTCTTGTGTATAGCTGCTGATACATTACATAAAGTGAATTATGTGTTTGTTGTATGAAAATATAAGTGGTTGACCATGGGAATATTAAGGAATGAAGCAGGGGAAATTGGCCTTAATTAGTGGTAATCTCACTAGTGGGTTTTTTTTTTGGTATTTATTTAGAAATATGTGCTGTCTCAAGAATTTCCAAAAAGGAAATAGGCCGGTGTTTTAAGCTCATCTTGAAAGCCTTGGAAACCAGTGTGGATTTGATCACGACTGGAGATTTCATGTCCAGATTTTGTTCAAACTTGGGTCTTCCTAAGCAAGTCCAGATGGCTGCAACACACATTGCTCGCAAAGCAGTGGAATTGGACCTGGTTCCTGGGAGGAGCCCCATCTCAGTTGCAGCTGCAGCTATTTATATGGCTTCACAGGCCTCAGCAGAGAAGAGGACTCAGAAAGGTAACATTGCTACTAAATCTTGCTTCCTTTATGCCAGGAGTAGCCATTCCTCTGAAACGAGGAGGCTCTCTTACATGATAGAATTGACTGGTGTTCAAGTTTTGGTCTTAGAGATACCGTGTTCATTGGCTGTATTACTTCACATTTCGGGTTTAATTATGTGGCTGTTGTTTGCCCAGCCAGAGTCCAATGTGCTGTGGATATCATAGCTCTTTTGCTTAGAATTCACTCACTTGGCTTCGCCCACACCAAATTATTTGCATGGTCAGAGTCAGTGATGACAGAAACTTATCTCTTTGTAAAAAAAATTATAAGCAAGAGACCCCTCTTATTATTTTAGATCTGAAGCAGATTCTATGGGCTTCTGACTATCAGCCCATTTTTACAGTTGCCATTTCCCTCAAAGTGTTTGGCTTCTTTGCGTGACATCGACTAGTGAGGTGTCCTTTTCTCTAGTGTGGGAAGATCCCCTGGACACTTCAAAACTCTTGTAGTTGCTGCTGAATTTGAACAACAGCTGTAGTGGTGCATGAAAAGAGGATGGCATTCAACCTGAGTTTTAAAAAATAGACCCTTGAAGCTCAGTATCAGAGAAGCTTGCAAAGAACTGGCTCAACAGAACCTTTTTGGGCAAATTCCAGTCCCAATGAAGGACATGGAGGAGTGTCCAGACCCCACTGCTTCTTAAAACTGCGGGTCCTAATCCCAAATAATCTCCTTGGTTCAGTGTTGGGGTCATAAAAAGTTGACAATGATAAAAGGTTTCTGAACAGTACTCATTTACACCAATCTGTTGGCAACAACAGTCAATGTTTACAGTGGACTCTGCAGAAAATGCTTGTTGTACTTCATAAAAAGGAAAATCAGCTTATTTGGCAAGTATTGCAAATTCTGATTTCTTATCAGTAAATGTTTGGTTTTTATACTTATTTATATACCTATATACTTGGGGTCATGTTAAAAATTCTGGAGCAGAAAGGAGTCATGAGTGGAAAGAGTTTAAGAAGCTCTGTTTTAAGCAACAATTGAGAACCGTAGTGCTTCCCAGCTACTAGTCCACTAGCCTCATCACAACAACAACAACAAAGAACATGTCAAACTACTCTGGGACTTCTGAGTTCAGACTGACAGAGTTTTGGAGCACAATACTCCTGATCTCACGATTGTGTTAAAAAACAAAGTATGGATCGTCAATGTTGCAATCCCAGATGACAGCAGGATTGAAGAGAAACAACTGGAAAAGCTGACATAATATGAGGATTTAAAGATTGAACTGCAAAGACTCTGGCACAAGCCAGTCAAGGTGGTTCCAGTGGTGATCGGCACACTGGGTGCAGTGCCTAAAGACCTTGGCCTGCACTTAAACCCAATTGGCGCTGACAAAATTGCCATCTGGCAGCTGCAGAAGGCCACTTTACTGGGATCTGCACGCATTATTCGTCAATACATCACACAGTTCTAGACACATGGAAAGTGTCCGACGTGTGATCCAATACAACAGCCAGCAGAGTGATCTTGTCTGCTGTGGACTCATAATGTTGTGTTTCTACTACTACTACTACTACTACTACTACTACTACTAATAATAATAATAATAATAATAATACTTTATTTATATTCCGCTCTATCTCCCTGGAGGGACTTGGGACGGATTCCAAATATAAAAGGCAAACATTCAGTGCCCGAACACAACAACAATACATCCATATTAACAAAATTTAAACAACTCAACATATAAACACGAATTATGACTTAACAACTAAAATTAAATAAAACACAGCCTGTTATAACTGACATAAAACAAAACATCAAACATTGAATAGAAAAAACAATTTGCCAGTTCCTTGGGCAAGTAAATTGATCATGCTAACCAGAGAATGAATCCACTTCAAATCCCTTGCTGCCTCCTGCAGAATTCTGCGGTTTGTAGTTTAGGGAGGAACTTTAACCGCCTTACTAAACTACAAACCCCAGAATTCTGCAGGAGGCAGAAACTGGATTTACAGTGGATTCATTCGCTAGTGTGGTGAAGTGGCTAGTTTACAGCAAAAATATTTGCATTTTGAATTAGATTCAGAATTAACTGGAAATAAATGGCAGCGTCTGAGCACAAGCAGTAAGGTCAGTTTTCAAGCTGGGTGTCCTAGGAAAATTTTCATTTTCCTAGCCGTGGGCATTTCTCCGGCCCGCGCGGTCTGGCCTGGCCACGCCCACCCGGTGCCGCTTCGCCAATTTCGGACACCCTCTGCTCCGGCCACTCTTGATACACAAGATTAGAACACAGCAAACAAGATCATTATGCTGTCTTTTGTATTTGATCACACATTGGACACTTCCCAAGTGTGTAGGACTGTGTGATGTATCGGGGAATAATGTGTGCAGATCTTAGTAGGGTGGCTTTTTGCAGCTGACAGATGGTAATTTTGTCAGCACCTATTGTGTTTAAGTGCAGGCCAAGGTCTTTAGGCACCAGGACTACCTTTATTGGCTTGTGCCAGAGCCCTCCCAGTTCAGTCTTTAAATACTCGTATCATGTAAGCTTTTCCAGTTGCTTCTCATCAATTCTGCTGTTGCCTGGGATTGCAATATCAACAATCTATACTTTGTTTTTTCTCCATGATCATGAGGTCAGGAGTATTGTGCTCCAAAACTGTCAGTCTGGATTTGGAACTCACAACATAGTTTTACGTGTTAACCCCCCCCCCCCAACATCATCATCATCATCATCATCATCATCATTGTTTATATTAGACATTAGACTAGCACCATCTCTAATGGTATTCCGCAAAAAAGTGAAGACCTGGCTGTTTGAGCAGGCGTTCGAATAATCAGTGCAATGATTGGTAATGAACATAGGAATGGAACAATGGATGACAAATCTGGATTATGTTTTTGATGATTTGATGATAGTGAATGGTTATTGTAGTAATTGTTTATTAATTGTTTATTAATTGTGTAATGTGTTAGGTTGTTAACTGTTTTTTACACTGTAGTATTGAACTTTTGCTGTTCTTATTTGTCGTGAACCGCCGTGAGTCGCCTTCGGGCTGAGAACAGCGGTATATAAGTAAAGTAAAGTAAGTAAGTAAATAAATAAATAAATATATCCCACTTTTTATCTCCACAAGGAGACTGTAATCACTACTTTGCTCCCTGGTTTATGTTGAGGTTTCTGGAAAGTAATCTGTTTCTCAAAGCAGTTTCACAGACCGTCAAGAACTGTGTGTTCAAGATGCATCACTATTTACTAATTTAAGAATAATGCTTCCTGAAAACCAACACCTTACCTCCCTTTGCTTTTGTTTCAGAAATTGGAGACATCGCTGGCGTTGCTGACGTTACAATCAGGCAATCATATCGGCTGATTTACCCAAGGGCTCCAGATCTGTTCCCATCAGACTTCAAATTTGACACCCCAGTGGACAAACTGCCACAGCTGTAAAATTGATAAGGTTGTTTCTAAGGTTTTTTAAAATCTTTTTTTTTTTTTACTTACAATGGTGTATAAAAGCAGTACAGCTGAGCCTTCAAGTTGTGGAACTGATTAAAGGATGTGGGGATAAAGAGAGAAAGAAGTTGGAGCACACATTCCACTTGTAAACAAGATACTTTTGTGGCATATTTTATGTATATATTAGTGAAAGTAACTATTTAACAACCATTGCAAAAAACTTCATGTCCTATTGTATGTACTGAATTTTTTTTGTAGAGACCTAGTAAAATGTATTTTGGAAAATGTGTCAAATTCTACTCCTTGAATAAACAGTTTTCCAAAAACATGTACTGTCTTACAAGTTTCAATTTATGTGACCTTATTCTAAATAAATACAGCCTTGGAAAAAGTAAAACATTTATTTAGTTTTCTATTGAACTGTATCTTGTTCAAGTTCCCTGATAAGTATTATTTTGATTAAACATGGTATGTACTGGAAGACAGTCTGAACCAGAGAAAACATGCTCTTCTGTTTTGAAAATGGAAGCATAGGTTTGAACTGTTATATGTAAATTGCTTGATTTTCAAGCACTCATGAATGGCAACTTCTGATTTCTTTAATTACACTATGTAACAAAATTTGATTTTTTTCCCTGTTCCTAGTTTGAAAGTGTTATTTCCTGTTTAATTGTGCACTACTTACTCCAGAAATTTCATTTCTGTGGCTGCCACAAACAATGTTAAATTGGTTGTAACTCTTATGAGATGCTCATTGAAAAACCAGCAAAATGTGCTGCAGGATGTCTCGCAAAAACAAAGTTTCTGCAGTTTAATAAACCTTTTCCATGTTGTAATGATAGAACCAATTAGGAAATAACATTTATAACCCAGGAACAAAAATCATGTTGCATAGTGCTACTGCTTGGTTTAGAGTACTTCAGAATGTCTGTTCTTATCCTGTAAATATGTTTTTTTTAAGTGTTTAGGATATCATTCGGCTCCACTAAAACACTAGTACACCGTTACTAATAAGGCATGTATGTAGGCCAGAATCATGTATAGCAGGGGTCCCCAAACTACGGCCCGCGGGCCGTATGCGGCCCGCCGTGGGCATTTCTCCGGCCCGCGCGGTCTGGCCTGGCCACGCCCACCCGGTGCCGCTTCGCCAATTTCGGACACCCTCTGCTCCGGCCACTCTTGATACACAAGGGAGAAGCCTCCCAGCTGGATCCTCTGCAGCTGGGAGGCTTCTCCCTTCCACACAGGGAGAGCGGCCGGAGCAGAGGGTGTCCCAAATTTTCAGAGTGGCGCCGGGTGGGCGTGGCCAGGCGAGGCCAGGCGGCCTGGCCTGGCCACGCCCACCCGGCGCCACTCTGAAAATTTGGGACACCCTCTGCTCCGGCCGCTCTCCCTGTGTGGAAGGAAGAAGCCTCCCAGCTGCAGAGGACCCATCTGGGAGGCTTCTGCCTTCCACACAGGGAGAGTGGCCGGAGCAGAGGGTGTCCCAAAGTGATGGAGCAGCACTGGGTGGCCGTGGCCAGGGAACGCCGGCTTCCCTGGCCACGCCCACCCGGCGCCACTGCTCCGGCTGCTCTATTCTCCACGGCCACGAGGCGCCTCCCGCTCCACTCCCTGCCGCGCCGGGAGAACAAGCCCCCGCAGCACCGCTGTGAAAAGGTTTGGGACATTTGGAGCATCAGTGCCAAGTTTGCAGGTGAACTATAAATCCCAGCAAATACAACCCCCAAAGCCACCTGTGTTCACATTTGGACATATTGAGTATCGGTGCCAAGTTTGGACCAGATCTATCATTGAGCCCACAGTGATTCATGGAGGCAGGTGAACTACAACTCCAAAACAAAAGGACACTGCCCACCAAACCCTTCCATTATTTTCTGTTGGTCATGGGAGAACTGTGTGCCAAGTTTGGTTCAATTCCATCATTGGTGGGGTTCAAAATGCTCTGCGATTGTAGTTGAACTATAAATCCCAGTAACTACAACTCCCAAATGACAAAATCAATTTTTTGTGTGAAGGACATACATTGGGTTGTTAGGTGTCTTGTGTCCAAAATTGGTGTCAATTCATCCAGTGGTTTTTGAGTTCTGTTAATCCCACAAACGAACATTACATTTTTATTTATATAGAAGTGTGGGTTTTTGTTTTTTGATTTGGGGGGGGGGGTTGCACTGCAAATAATATATGTGCAGAGTGCATAGGAATTCATTCATTATTTTTTTCAAATTATAATCCGGCCCTCCAACAGTTTGCGGGACTGTAACCCGGCCCTCTGTTCAAAAAGTTGGGGGGGACCCCTGATGTATAGGATCCAGAAGCACCATAGCTATGGTGCTACAGTGAATCCTGGTCCTTCTGCCCCACTTACTGGGAAGCAGTCACTGCAAGTGACAGACATAAATACCATGGAATTATATTTAATATCACAGAGCTGTACTAACCCTGTAATGCCATCTGGAGGTACTGATTAATTACTTGATATGATAAATTTGTAAGCAAAATTTCAGTAAATATTACCAGGGCGTTTTGCAATATTAATATTAATCAGAAAAATTGCAACACTCAAATATAGTATCTAATGAACCTGGATCTGAGAACTCCATGAGAGCAAAGTGTTAAAGAGCTGAGTTGGGAGCAGTCACTTTCAGGTTGTATGCAAGGATTACTGCTGATCTCTCTCAGGTATTATTGCCTTCATGGGGAATGGCTTCATTAAAAGGGGAAAAAATGCTTAGGCGCCCCTACCCCGGCTGAATATGATGTATGTATTAAAAGTATTGTTATATTACTTCACCTATATATCACCTGCGTACAGATATTTCTAGTTTAGGTGAGGTCAGTTCTGCAAATCTTGATACGTCAGGATAAACAGAATGGATAAGACTATTCCTGTTGGATATGTAGGCTATTCTCTAAACCTAGTGTGAGTACTTGCAATAGGTTTAAGGGCTATTTTTTGCCCCAGGATTCTTTGAGATGTACAATTTCCAAAACTATCCCCCAGTCCATGTTGAAGTGCCTGAATATGCATTCCTAAATTGGAAAATCCATAAGTAGAGGCCCACAGCAACTAAAAATTCTCTGGAGTGGCTCTGTTGGAGTTTCCAACAAATCACACAACCTCTGAGGATGACTGCCATAGGTGCAGGTGAAACGTCAGGAGAGAATGCTTCTAGAACATGGCCACATAGCCCGAATAACCCAGTGATTCTACCCATGAATGCCTTCGACAATACAATGCTCAACTAGCTCATCTCAGAAGTCAAGCCACAAAGAAATGCTTATTATAAGTAGAATCTGACATTTACCTCTCACTATCACGATAGTTCTGATTAGATTTTATAAGTTGTGTACTGTGAATTGTGGGCAAACAGGCAAAGATGATTTAAATTAGCCCAATTGCTATTAAGTGTGTGCAAGAAGTGCAAAACCGTTCCTTATAGCCTACTGCTAAGCAATATGATAGAATGTTGGAAATAAGCAGGAGTAAGGATTGCAACAATATTTTGATGGATGTGAATTTAAAATAGAACCCCTTTGTCCCTAGAAACCATCTGCCTCATTTTGGAGACAGCTTAATTTAGGCCAGTGCTATTTTTGTTTTCTCACTGCTCCAGCAGCATTCTTAAGCCATAATAGTATGAGCGAGGGAGTGTAGATGGTAGAAAGAAGTCTGAGTTTATTTAGATCTTGAATCTGCTCAGCATGGAAGCTGACATTATACATTTTAAAAACAAAACAAAATTCAGCAACATAATAAATCAGCTCTATTCTTCTGGAAGCTTCATCTCCATGAAATGTCAAGTTTACAGTCTTTACCTGGATTCTTAAGAGCCAGATTCAGGATTGTTTGCTACAGTATTACCAAAAATGGCATCCTTCTGGTAGTTCTCTTCTACAGTGATGTTTTCCCAAGCACTGGCTCTTCAGTATCATCTTGTTGATTTTTTTCTAGCAATTATGCTGTGGAAGCATGAGCCAAAAAACCATCTTAACTAATCAGCCAAGACTTAGAAGTTATGTATCCCATTGGTAAATACTTCTTCCTGCATGACATCATAGCAGTCATGAAGAGGTTTTTAAGTTAATATTTTGCAATATTCCCACTCCTCTAACAAGATATTCCACTGCCATTTCAGTTTCATTACTTAACTAACCATAACCCTAACATAATTCTAAGAAGCTGCAGTTTGAGTGGAAAACGAATTGACCCTCAAGTACTTTCTCCAAATTCTAAACAGTAACACATACTGGTGGTGCAATGGGTTAAAGCGCTGAGCTACTGAACTTGTCAAATGAAAGGCTGGCAGTTCGAATCCAGGGAATGGGATGAGTTCCCACTGTTAGGCCCAGTTTCTGCCAACCTAGCAGTTTGAAAACATGCATATGTGAGTAGATCAATAGGTACCACTTTGGCAGGAAGGTAATGGTGCTCCATGCAGTCATGCTGGCCACATGACCACGGAGGCATCTACGGACACCGGCTCTTCGGCTTAGAAATGGAGATGAGCAACATCCTTCAGAGTTGGACATGACTAGACTTAATGTCAAGGGAAAACATACACCTTGGTGAAGCCCTCCTTGTATAGCAGCTGCTTGCTCTTAATTGCTTGTGTCTTACACACAGCGAAACACCTGAGGTATAGAAGTTGAACATTTGTGCAATCTTTTGCTTTTCAAACGGCAAACAAGACCAGTATTCCAAGTCCTTTGAAGATAATCAGGAGATAATCACTGACAAACCACTGATTAAGACAAGGAGAGCTGCTTTAAAAACCAGAGGATACAGTCAAAACCATGCTGGATACTGAAATAACCTGTTCCTATTTCAAGAAGTTACTCTGATATTCTTCCAAGCAGGCTTCCATTGAGACATCTCAGGAATTTAAGAAGCTATGCCAGCCAATGGGCTGTTCCTATCACATACAAGTACACACCTCCAAGGCACAAAATCAGATGACTATAAAAGAGGATCTCAACTCAGTTTTACTTTGGCTTTCAATTTCACCTCTGAACACTGCTCAAGGGTCTGAGCCGAAATCATTTACTACCAGAGGTTTAGCTATGCTATGAGAGCTGTTCAGCAGTGAAACTCTCTGCCCCGGAGTGTGGTGGAGGCTCCTTCTTCGGAGGTTTTTAAACATAGGCTGGATGGCCATCTGTCTGGAGTACTTTGAATGCGATTTTCCTGCTTCTTGGCAGGAGGTTGTACTGGATGGCCCATGAGGTATCTTCCAACTCAAGGATTCTATGCAGCTCTGTGTACGTTGTCAGTGGACCATGGTTGCCTGAGTTACTTCAACAACCAGTAATTGATCCAGGTTTAAATACTAGATTCTCCCCCACCTTGAAAAAAGAAAAGGTAATACAAATAAAGTTCTACATACATCATTTTTATCGAAAGAAAGATCAAAACCACAAGAGTATAGAATTCAAATCCAAAAATCATGTTTTCATATACAAATGTCACTAGTTCAATTTTAATCTGATAGTTAACTGCAAGACAGTTTGTAGTATTACATTGTTAAAGGCACGTTTCATTTTAATGCATAGTGTACCATTCTAAAATATCCTAGTTTCTTTACAAAGTGCTTCAGCAGCCACATACAAGTATAGCAAAATATATTTACAATCTAGAGTTTAAAATCTGAGTTTGCCTAAATGTTTCAAAACTAGATAAAATTAGTGCTTTCTTTTCAGCTTAATGGTGTGAACATACCCTGCCTCTAATGCTTTTGATTATGATTCACTTAAGATTATGAACATTTCTGTACAAGATGTACTTACAAAAGAGGTTATTTCTGTAGGACTTTTACCTGCGAAGCACCTGTTTGGGACCCAGCTGTCTCTAGCACAAATTTGGAAGGGGAAGGGGCTAGCAGACTGTACCTCAGGTGTGTAGTATTTTCTCTCATTAGAAAAAAAAGGCTATTTGTCCTCGAAAAGAAATAACATCCTGAGAACAAGCTAAATGGTACTATTTCTTAGTACCAGTTTACAAATATTCCTAACTTTGTAAAAAAAAGAGTGACTATGTTATTCATTGTCCCTTTTGGGAAAACTTACACATGTACATTAGTCTAGTGATTCCGTTATACTTTGTAGTTTTGTGGGCCTCTGAAAATATCCAAATCAAACCAAATGCTATTTTAGTGGGAGAAGGGATGAACCTTAGACTATAAAAGAATTGGAGTCTCATTATTTCCATTCAAAGTCAGCATGGTTAATTAAGTGATTGCTATTTATTTTAAGGGAGAAACATTCCAGTACGATCAGTAAGTATGAGTGACTTTATGCCTCACACAAATTCTTCATTCTAGTCTAGCTGGGGATGAGGCGGATAGCAGGAACCAATTTCAAGAAGATGGGGAAAGTGGAATGTCATTTTCCACAGCCAAACTTAAGCAGAGTATTTGTCAATAGTTACATAGGTCTGTACGGAGCACACAGTATCTGGTCAAAGACATTTTAACTTTTGAGGTACAGCATTGTGTTAAGAGGCTTAAAATATACATGTTTTTATCAAAAATATTTATACATTCTCTTGCAACATATTGCTTTTACCCTTATTTTCAGTTAATTGCCAATGAAAATGATGGAATTCAGCGGCTTGAAAGATGTATAAAAGTACATTTCCCTATTAAATCTGAATTCAACAATACATTCACGGAGCCCACTGGACAAAAACTTAAAGGAAGTGGTACACAGTTCACCTGTATCTTGAAACAAAAATATACCAGAAATCCCAAATGCACATGTATATTACATGTATACGCAAAGGATCCTTGTTCTTTAAAGATGATATGGTAACACTAAATCAGCAAATGTAAGATGACCAACATGGCTAGGCAGTAGATTTTAGGAAATCAGTATTATGTATTACATAATGTGGAGCAGTTATGACTTCTAAAGAACAGAACAATGATTGTACTTTGGGGGTGGGGGAAGGGTGGGGGATATACACACTGAAAGTAGATCCAGTTAGGACCGGGGAGACATTCTAAATTATTTACATTCTTCTTATCTGCTGGTTGTTTCTGAACAGTGTTTAAAGACATTAAAAGGCATAATTTGTTTGGCATGTGACTTTGGTAAACGTTTCAGGATTTGACCCACTCCCCCTTGTTTTAGAAATGGAAGCACTTATATTGTTTGTTTCACGTAAGTAAGGCTTTTAAACAACTCCCCCAATAAATACCATAACAAGCTTACAAAATAAGGCATCATTTGTAAATCCTCATTATTTTTTAAAGTCAAGTCAATAGTGTGCTTAACAGTTTTTCGGCCTGTAAATTTTTGGATTTTATAACCATTTTTTACTTGTAAAGGACTGACAGCTTTTGCCTCCTTCCATTAAAACGTGGCCTGGACAGATGGTTATCAGTCTAGATCAGTTTCTGGTTGCTGTTCCACTTCTTAAAGGCATGTTTTTTCTCCAATGTTTTCTGCTGTGAAAAAATAAAGATACAGTACAAGCGTGTGCCCATATGAGAATGGGACAGGGCCTGTACCCACCAATTCAGCTTAAGGAGCTGCACAAAAATTGCTTTCCAGTGCTCAAGATTAATATATATATATATACAAAAACAAAGAGGCCAGACCTCGTGTGTATTAAAAACAGTACTTTTACAAAAAAAATATCTTCATATGATTTAAAAATCAGAAGCTACAGGCAGCACAGAGCCCAATCCAGAGACTGGTCCTGTTCTCAACAAGGGAGGGAAGTGGGAGAATGCTGTTTCTGATGAACCTATCGGCTAGGATTTCACAGTGTCTAAAGGATTAACACCAGTCTGCAATGTAGTCAAAGTCTCTGAACATGTCTTGCTGGTCTTCAGAAAGTATCCTAGGCTCCCGGGGTGGAGTGAGAATAGGTGCTTCTGAGGTAAATTCGTCATCAAAATTGCTAACATCTTCTCTTCCTCTTATGACGGGAACAAAAGGAGGCTTCACCTTCTTGGCAAGTAATGCGTTCCAGTCGATCAACTGTAAAGGAGAGGACAGGTTAAGCTCCCTGCTACAGGATATTGCCAGACCACAACCACACTTTCATTGTCACTCACCCGGAAAAAGTGATGCTTTTTGACATCTTCAGCATCCTTCTCGCCAGCACCAAGGCGTCGTTCTGGATTTCTCCTCAGAAGCTGAAAAGAGCATCAAGAACTTTGTCAAATGGAGACTCGAGTTTCCTGCTATGATTTCCTTGACTATCAAATTTTTGCTACAGATGGGTAAATTAAAAATGATCTTTAAGATACATGTCTTGCCTTTCCAATTGATTAAATAACACTCAGTACTAGTATATATTGCCTTTCAGCCCAGGGGCGATTTAGTGAAGCTTAAATCACAAACTAAACAAAGTAATATAAATAAAGCCTAACTAAATCCAAACCCATAGTAATTAAAATCAAACCCAACTCAATTTATTAAACAACAATCAAGCGAAAACTGACATTACTAGGACTATTGGACAATCAAATGAAAAAAAGGAATGTGAGAGAATACTGCAAGAATATGCTTAAAAGTGCAAAATGACAGAGATGCCAACTATAGAAGACTGGATAGTAAATATACAGGAAATAATAGAAATGGACAAATTAACATTTTTGAAGGATAAATCATTGGAAACATTTTCAGAAGAATGGAAACCTATTATATCAATATAATCTGAGGAAAAGACTATCTACAGGTCTGGAGGCATAAAAGGTTGGGATATTCACTTGTAAATGTTAAAGCAAACAGAAGTAAAAAATGCTACATTTCTAGAGAAACCCGACAAAAGAGAAGCTGGAAATCCACTTTTAACACTAATTTATGTGTATGTTTGTCGTTTTAGAGTTAGTGGTAGATATGTATGTTTGTTAATAATCATTGTCCAAGTATATCTATGTTCATGTACTTATAAGTATCACTGCTTTTCTTTCTGTGTGTTTTATTGTCAAAAAATGTAATTAAAAATATTGGGAAAAAATCAAATTTAACTTAGAAAAATTAGTTCTAAATAAGGTACAGCGGCACACAATACTCTCAATCTCATTTACAAGAAGCCATAATAAATCCAAACAGTCTTCCGCAGTAAATTACCTCCTGAATAAGGCCTCTTTGCAGAGTGAGCCGACACAAAAAGGTCACTCCAAATGACTGATGAACTGATAAAGGATGGGAAACCTCTGTATTCCATGAGCCAATATTCAGCGTACTTGAATTCTCTCTGCTTCTGTTTTGCTATACAACTGTTACTGCCTTACTCTCAGGCATCTCTTTTGGTCTTTTTCACATGCCTCTAGAAGGTAAGAGGGTACTGTTTCTGGCTGCTTTTACCAAGAGCACTGTACTACTAGTGATAATGGCCAGAGGAGTGAATGAAGGCAGTTTTATCCAGCAGGAGTGATGAGAGACCACAATGACTATGATGTTACACTTTGATAGGGCACCTAATTATTTTTACATTAAATTGATGTTTAAAGCTTTACAAAAAAACTCAATTGTTTTTCTTTATACACATGGTTAAAGATTAAATTAAAAAGGGAACATGCACACTTCAGTCACCACTCACCCGTCTCATGATAGAAATGGCTTCTGTAGAAAGGAAACGAGGGTATCTTACTTCGTCATTTACAATACTGTCAAAAACCTCTTCTTCATCATCTCCTGGGAAAGGAGACTGGGGAAAAAAACCATTTCCAGAAATTAACATTTTAATCTGTTTAGCTCACAATCCAGCAGCCAGATGAAAGTGACAGGCTAACAGTCCTGCATGCACCAGGTCCCTTCCAAATGTAGATCCAAATGCCCTCCACAGACAGATAAAGGAAATAGCTTTGTTTTGTGAAGCTTACCTCACCAACCAGCATTTCATAGATAAGAACACCGAGACCCCACCAGTCTACAGCTCTTGTATAAGATGTTTCTGTCAATACTTCTGGAGCAAGAAATTCTGGAGTGCCACAGAAAGTACTCGTTCTGTCACCAAATCCCATTCCTGCAAAGATTATTAATTAATTAAAATACTTATAACCCTAAAGTGGTATACAATAAAATTACTTTAACCAATAATATAAAAAGGAATTATCTATGTAAGACGCAAAGAATATTAAAAGTTTAATGCATCAAAACAAGACAGCTGAAGTAGTTTGAAATGTTTTAAACTAGAGCACATGTGCAGATCTGAATAAAATAGGTTAGACCCACTTATTTGCAGACAATAACTTCCAAGACCCCTGTGGACACCTGAAACCACAGATAGTACCAAATCTTATATTTTCAAGCTTCGTTTGAACTTAACCCATTGAGTCAACTGTGCCCCCAAAACATAGGCTTTGGTACAGAGTTAAAGGGGGCTTGGAAACAACACTTCCTGTTTTCTGGAGGAGCCTCCCTCCCACCTACTATTGATCTGCCCCCAACCTTTCTCTCCTAGGTTGTTGTAGGTTTTTCAGGCTGTATAGCCATGTTCTACAAGCATTCTCTCCTGACGTTTTGCCTGCATTGTGAAGACATTTCAGACCTCACAACCTCTGAGGATGCCTGCCATAGATGCAGGCGAAACGTCAAGAGAGAATGCTTCTAGAACATGGCCATACAGCCTGAAAAACCTACAACAACCCTGTGATTCCAGCCATGAAAGCCTTCGACAATACACTTTCTCTCCTAGCTTCCTTGGATACGTGTACAGATGCCTGAAGGCAGGAGGTTAACCTCTGGGCTAAGTGTACCAAAGAGTCATACTGGAGGCCTCAGAAATGCTCACAAAGACTCCAAAAAGCAGGGACTATGGGCAAATGAAACCATAGAAAAGGGGGTCTTCCTGTAAGCTCCAAAGGATTTCCTAAAAATCATGTTTTGACTTGGACCTAGAATGACACCAGTGTTTGCACCTGCAGGACCTCTAGGAGACAATTATTCCACAACTGCATTGTCACAATAGTGATAGCCCTTTCCTATGCACTCTTGTACTATGTTGCTTCCAGAGGATGGCATCTCCGACAGACCCCAGTCAAGGATAGGCACGTCTTCAAGTATAAAATATTCAAAGCCATTTAGAGCTTTGAATGTCCTCACCAACATCATTAATTCAAATCCAATGTGTATGGAAGCAGGAGTAGCTCCTTTAATACTGGTGCTACATTGTCCCTACAGCAGAAGTGGACAACTGTGAAAAGCTAGGGGACCAACATAGTGCCAAAATCTTTCTCTATGGAGAGTGTTTCTGTATGTGTGTGTGTGTGTGTGTGGGGGGGGGGGGGGGGGGGGTTTGCCTTGTTTTTAGAGTCCCTGAGCTTAGAGAGGCTTTTTAATGTCTTCCTGGATTTTATTACAAAAATGTTTTACTGAGAACACACAACTGAGGTACATACCTGAAAACAACACCAACAACACAATAGCAACTCTGTGCCATTTAAATATGCTAGACAGAATTTGGATTAGAGATAATGAATCCGTAACACTGTCGAAAACATGCAAAAGAAAGCACACTCACAAAATATGGGTGCTTAATTAAACAATATTCATAGGACATAAATGGCTAGATACACAATCTTTCATAGAATTAATTCAGTGAATTGCTATGACCAAACAAAGATCTGAAGGGGAACTGCATCTTTTAGATACCAGACAGATGTGAGGATGTGTTGTTTAAGGCTTTCATAGCTGGAATCACTGGGTTGCTGTGAGTTTTCTGGGCTGCATGTCCATGTTCCAGAAGCTTTCTTTCCTGACTTTTAACTCAGGCATCCTCAGAGATTGTGAGGTTTGTTGGAAACTAGGAAAGTAAGGTTTATATATCTGTGGAATATCCAGGGTGCAAGAAAGAACTTTTGTCTGAGGCAAGTGTGAATGTTGCAATTGACCGCTTTGATTAACACTGAATAGCCCTGCAGCTTCAAAGCCTAGCTGCTTCCTGCCTGGGGGAGACCTTTGTTGGGAGGTGTTAGCTGGTCCTGATTGTTTCCTGTCTGGAATTCACCTGTTTTTGAGTGTTGTTCTTTATTTACTGTCCTGTTTTTAGAGTTTTTTAATACTGGTAGAAAGGAGAAAATCATGAAAATGAATGAAATCTGGCTACCAGTATTTAAAAACTCTAAAACCAGGACTGTAAATAACGAACACTCAAAAACAGGGGAATTCCAGACAGGAAACAAGCAGGGCCAGATAATCACCTCCCAACAAAGATCTCCCCCAGGTAGGAAGCAGCTAGGCTTTGAATCTGCAGGGCTATTCAATGTTAATCAAAGTGGTCAATTGCAACATTCACACTTGCCTCAGACCAGGGTTCCTTCTCCCACCCTGGACATTCCACAAATATATAAACCCCACTTGCCTAGTTTCCAACAGACTTCACAGCCTCTGAGGATGCCTGACACAGATGTGGGTGAAACGTCAGGAGAGAATGCTTCTGGAACATGGCCATACAGGCTGGAAAACTCACAGCAACCTAGATGTGAGAAAGATTTCCATTGATAAACACCAAACACTTCTCCTCAGATAGTTGTTCTTTCCTTCACTTTAATTTTTTGCATGATCATCTGTGCAAGCCAAATTATATGTGGGATTGCAAGAAACCAAAAGTAATCTTATCTCTAAATCACACAGCTGGTTATTTTTTCACCTGCCGCTCCCTTAAAAAAGTTAAGGGGAAAGAAGGAGGCTAGTTATGAGGTCTAGACCTCACTTTACCTCCAGAGAGTTAAAAGTCAATAGCTAAAGGCCACAGGCCTATAGTTTCCTCTTCTATCTTTGCAACAAACACTGGAAACCAGGAGAAAGGTGTAATGTAATTAAAACAAAGCAAGAAAGATAGATCATGACCTTCTCTATCTGCTCGTAGACAAAGCAAAATCTGAAACAGATGAATCTGAAACATTCTACAATGGCATGTTAAAAGTTAATGGGAGAAGGAAGGAAAGTGGAAAGGGGGAAGTGAGGACTGGAACTGCTTATCTGAGAGAGTACCTGATAAGAGTGGGCTGGCATTTCCATAAAAAGTCTAACTGCGTGGTAATACATAACACTGGCAACTACTTTAGAAAAAAACTTACCCTCTTTGCAAAGACCAAAGTCAGCTATTTTCACAAAGCCTTCTGTATCCAGCAACAAGTTGTCTAGCTTTAAGTCCCTACAAAAAGAATTTAAACCATTTGTTATGGCCAGGTTTGAGCCACTAGAGAAATGCTATTTGCAAAAAATTAATCCTTCTTAAATAGTTTTCTTTTCTAAATTTAAGATATCTTAGTTTGGGGCAAGCAACCCTGGTTTTAGAAAGGTATTTTATGGCAGAGTTTTCTGCTTGCCAAGAAAAGCTAAATGTTTTTGTTTAATGTGAGCAACCACAGTACACAAGACAATCAAATACAGACAGCAGAATGTGAAGAATAACAGCAATCTGCATCTTCTGAATACTTACCTATAAACTATCTTGTGCTCATGTAAATATTGCAGTCCAAGAACCACGCACGCAGCATAAAATCTGTTCAGAAAGAAACAATGTGCTTGCTGTCACCACTCTAACAGTTTGTTATACCGTTGCAAAGAATAGCTTGAACAGAAACTGACTTCAAAAAAAATGTTAATGCTAAACAAGTGTCTCTTCTAATTAATTTGTTTTGAATAACAGTCTCTTCCTGTTCCTTTATTTTGATGTAAAAGTTTGCAGTAAAAACATAACTGAGTGGCAGGGCTTCAGATGCAGATGGACGCAAGTTCAGTTTTAGGGGTCCTCAGTTAGAGCAGGGGTCCTCAAACTTTTTAAACAGAGGGCCAGGTCACAGTCCCTCAAACTGTTGGAGGGCCGGATTATAATTTGAAAATACATGAATGAATTCCTATGCACAGTGCACATATTTTATTTGTAATGCAAAATGCATTTAAAAATAATACAATAATTAAAATGAAGAACAATTTTAACAAATTTAAATTTATTAGTATTTCAATGGGAAGTGTGGGCCTGTTTTTGGCTGATGAGATAGGATTGTTGTTGTTGTTGTTGTTGTGTACTTTCAAGTTGTTACAGACTTAGGTTGACCCTAAGCGAGGGCCGGGTAAATGACCTTGGAGGGCCGCATTCGGCCCCCGGGCCTTAGTTTGAGGACCCCTGAGTTAGAGGATCAGGTACTATTGGATTGGAAGGATCCTCCTTATCTGTCTTAGATTCTACACAGCCCCCACCAGCCTAAGTAGAGAATACCAAGCTATATCACTGCTAGACTCTCACTATATACTCTCACCCAACCTATTCAACTTGTATGCAGAACATGTGATGTGCAGGGCTTGACAAATGCAAGGCTGGAGTTAAAATTGCTGGAAGAAACATTAACAACCTTAGTATGCAGATGATACCACTTTGATGGCCGAAAGCGAGGAAGAGCCGTCTAACCAAGATGAAAGAAGAAAGTGCAAAAGTTGGGTTGCAGTTAAACATAAAAAACCAAGGTTATGGCAACAAGACTGATTGATAACTGGCAAATAGAGGGAGAAAACGTGTAGGCAGTGACAGACTTTGTATTTCTAAGTGCAAAAATTACTGCATATGCAGACTGTAGCCAGGAAATCAGAAGACATTTACTTCTTGGGAGGAGAGCAATGACCAGTCTTGATAAAATAGTGAAGAGTAGAGACTTCACACTGGCAGCGAAGATCTGCATAGTCAAAGCAATGATAACCTATGGATGCAAGAGCTGGACCATAAGGAAGGCTGAGCGAAGGAAGATAGACGCTAGTGCTTTGGACCGTAATAAGATCCAACCAGTCCATACTTTGGGAAATAAAGCCCAACTGTTCATTGGAGGGAAGGATATTAGAGGCAAAGAAAAAGTACTTTGGCCAGATAAAGAGAAGTCAGGAAAGCTTAGAGAAGACAATGATGTTGGGGAAAATGAAAGGAAAAAGAAAGAGGCAAGATAGATGGACTCTGAAGGAGCTGGGGTGGTGACGGCTGACAGGGAGCTCTGGCGTGGGCTGGTCCATGAGGTCACAAAGATTCAGAAGCGACCGAACAAATAAACAACAACAACAACAACAACAACAGCAACAACAGATCACTACTTCTTAAACTCCGGGTCTCAACCCCACATGTGGTCCCCCCTTAGATCAAAGTGGGACTTGCAAAAAATTTGACAATAGTAAAAAGTTTCTGAACACCACCTAGACATTTTCACCAATCTGATAGCAACAACATACAATGTTTACAGTGGACTTTGCAGAAAAAAGCTTAAGCTGTACACTACAAAAAAAGTAAAAACAGCCCCTTCAGCAAGCTTTGTAAATGCTGATTTATTACCAGTATATGCTTAATTTTACACCTATTTTATATAGCCTACATAACTGGGGTCATGTCAAAGCTTTCAGGTCAAAAGGGGTCCCGAAAAAAGGAAAAAAAATATCAGAGGGGAGAACTCCCTAAAGAGTTCAGTAGACTAAGAGAAAACTTAGGTCTACAAGACATCTGGAGATTTCTCCACAAAGACGAACGAGACTTTACATTTTACTTGGACCGCCATAGTTCGTGGTCCCGTATAGATATGGTGTGGGGAACAGAGAGAATATTAGCTAAAACTGTAAAGGTTAGAATATTACCAAGAACGAGCTCAGACCACGCCCCCTTGGAACTAATTATTGAAAAGCCAGGAAACAAGATAAGAACAAGGACATGGAGACTAGATGATCAACTGATAAGAGAACACAATGATCAGGAGACAAACAGAAAAATACTAGAAGAGTTTTTTAAACTTAATACAGAGAATGATACAACTATAGATACCATCTGGGACACATCCAAGGCATACATTAGAGGTCATTTTATCCAACAAAAAGCAAGAAAGAACAAAATAAGAAATAGCGAAATAAGAGAAATAAAAGAAAATATTAAAAAAATCGAAGAAGAACTTAAAAAACGACCGCACAAGAAATCATTAAAACTCCAATTAGAAACATTAAAGAAAAGATGGGATACACTACAACTAGATGAAATAAGTAAAAAATTAAAATACATAAGACAAAACCAATTCGAAAATGCGAATAAAATAGGGAAATATTTAGCCTGGAAGGTAAGAAGGAAAAAGCATAAACAACAGATAACTAAAATAGAGGATGGTGAGAGGAGCTATGTAAAACAATTAGACATAGAAGAACAATTTAGAAAATTCTATAAAAAACTGTACACGGACGACAATATACCCAAAGAAAAAGTTATAAATTACCTAGGGAAACAAAAAATAAGAAAACTTTCTGAGGACGAAAGAGAAACGCTAAACAAAAAAGTAACAGAAGAGGAGATAAAGGAAATAATAACAAAACTACCAGCGAATAAATCCCCGGGTCCCGACGGATTAACGGAAAAATACTACAAAACCTTCAGCGAGGTACTAACACCACACTTAGTAAAGGTAATGAATAAAGCTCTAGAAGACAGGAAATTGCCAGAGACATGGAAAATAGCACATATAACGGTAATACCAAAGGAAGGCCAGGATGCAACAAAAGTTTCAAACTACCGCCCAATATCATTACTTAACGTTGATTACAAAATATTCTCGGGCGTGCTAGCAGCTAGACTAAAAAAGGTACTAGACAAAAGAATAAATACAGACCAGACTGGTTTCTTACCAGGCCGACAAATAAGTAGGAACATGAGGCTGATCCTGGATACAATAGAATATTACAACAACCATAGACAAAACGAAGCAGGACTCCTATTTTTAGATGCGGAGAAGGCATTCGACAGGGTCAATTGGGGATTTATAATAGAACTAATAAAAGAAATTGACGCAGGGTACCAGTTCATTAACGCGATCAAAGCAATATACTCGCAACAATCAGCGAGAATGATTGTAAACGGACAAACATCGGAACCAATCAAAATAACAAGAGGAACAAGGCAGGGATGCCCAATATCCCCACTGATCTACATCTTGACCCTGGAGGTACTGCTAGATAGCATCAGGGGTAACAAAGAAATTAAAGGGCTAAAAATAGGTAGTACACGCTCTGGTCACATCCCGCCTTGACTACTGCAACGCTCTCTACGTGGGGCTGCCCTTGAAGACGGCCCGGAAGCTTCAATTAGTCCAACGTGCGGCAGCCATGATTACTAACAGGAGCGGGACGCAGGGAGCACACAACGCCCTTGTTGTCCCAGCTCCACTGGCTGCCGATCTGCTACCGGGCCCAATTCAAGGTGCTGGTGTTGTCCTACAAAGCCCTAAACGGTTCCGGCCCAAAATACCTTTCGGACCGCATCTCGGCCTATGAGCCCACGAGGACCTTGAGATCGTCTGGGGAGGCCCTTCTCTCGATCCCGCCTGCCTCACAGGCACGCCTGGCGGGGACAAGGGATAGGGCCTTCTCGGTGGTGGCCCCCCGGCTGTGGAACACCCTCCCTGTAGACATCAGACAGGCACCCTCCCTTATGACATTCCGCAAGAGCCTAAAGACGTGGTTGTTTGAGAAGGCGTTTTACTAAGTGCTACAACAAATTGGCAATGATGAGTGGAACGGAATATGGATAACGAGATTGGATTGTGATTCTATGATGAGACGTCGCGAATGATTTAGTGTAATGGTATTATTAATAGTGATGTTGTTATTGTTGTTTATGATATTGCTTTCATTGTAAATTGTCTTTTTATATGTTGTACACCGCCGTGAGTCGCCCTAGGGCTGAGAACGGCGGTCAACAAATGCAGTAAATAAATATATAAATAAATAAATAAATAAAAATAAGATCACACAGCTATAAAGTGGCAGCATTCGCTGATGATCTGGTAGGTGTGATAGAAGACCCGATAAAACAATGGGAGAAATGGTGGTCAGAAATCACAGCCTTCGGTGAGGTCGCAGGTCTAAAAATAAATAAAAATAAGACAAAATTCCTAGTCAAAAACATGTCAAAAGAGAAAAAAGAGGAACTTCAAAGAATATCAGGAGTAGAAGTTGCATCAAAGGTAAAATATCTGGGAATATACATAACACCCAGCAATGCACAGTTAATAAGAAACAACTATGACATTAGATGGAACCAAATAAAGGAAAAGATGCGAAGATGGCAAAGGTTAGAATTATCCCTTCTGGGGAGGATCGCGTTAACAAAAATGAACATCTTAGCGGAGGTACTTTACCTCTTTCATATGATTCCTGTAGTAAGAACAAAAAACACGATAGCAAAATGGCAGAAAGAGCTAAATAAATTTATATGGCAAAATAAGCGGGCCAGAATAAAATTCAGGAACATGAGCGATGACCCGAAGAGGGGAGGGCTCGGACTGCCAGACCTTCAGCTCTATTACGACGCTGCAGCACTAACATGGGTAAGGGAATGGGCAACACTAAAAGATGAAAGATTGCTGTTGCTAGAAGGGGAGGATTTAAATAGAGGATGGCACAGCTATCTATGGAAAGGAAAAGCCGCTAAGGAAAAGAACTTCCATAACCATCTCATTAGGGCATCACTAATAAAAATATGGAACAAATACAAGGGGAGATGGTACTCAAAAACACCAACATGGGTCTCCCCGAACGAGGCGGATCAAAGGAGGGAAACAGCAAAAGGTAAATGGCTGAGATATAAACAGCTCCTGAAGATAACGAACCAGGAGACAAAATTAAAAACACTAGAGGAAATAAGACAAATAGAGCCGGAGTTCACCTGGTTCCAGTATTGGCAGGTAAACAAGAACTTTAAGGAGGACAAAAAAATAGGATTTGAAACGAAGGAGAAAGTATGGGACAAGATGCTAAACATAGAGAGAAAAGTGATCAAAGGACTGTATCAACAGTTGCTGCTATGGGCATCGGAAGAGGAGCAAGTGAAGGAAGTTATGATAAAATGGGCCAGAATGATAGGTCGCACAATAACAATGCCAGAATGGGAGGGGATTTGGGGAAAAAAATTAAAATACGCATACGCTGCGGAAATAAAGGAAAACTGGTTCAAAATGTTTTATCTATGGTATCAGACATCGGAAAAAATAGCGAAATATAGTAAGGGATGGTCTGACAGGAAGTGTTGGCGATGTGGAAGGAAACTGGGAACTTTCAAACACATGTGGTGGGACTGTAAGATCGTTAGAAAGTTCTGGAAAGAGGTACACCATAAGACAAAGGAAATACTACAAATTAACCTGGAATTTAGACCAGAATACTTCCTATTGGGAATGAACAACCCCACCATAGACAAAAACGATGAAAAAATTATGTTCTACCTCACCACGGCAGCGCGAATGAGTGTGGCCCGACGATGGAAAAACAAGGAAACAGCGGACTTCAATCAGTGGATGAGTAAATCCATGGATATTATGAACATGGACTTACTAACACAGAGACTGAGGAAAAATGAACGATCAAAAGAAAACACTGACTGGGGCAAATTCATAACTTTCCTAAAAGAAAACAGCAAGAAGTGCGAATAGAACATGAAGGCGAGAGCAACACCAAAGAACAAAAGTCAAATAAGAGAGCAACCGACCAAAAAGACTTTTAACTATTTAATAATGGTATCAGGAACTGTACGCTTAAACACCCTGGAAGTCAAGACGTGTGTATAGGTGTGATTTATGTATGTAGGTCTTTGTATGTCTTTGTGCCAAATGTTGTGTGATATTAACGTAGAGGGGGAGGAGGGGAGGGTAGGAGGGGGGGGGGGGGGGGGGGGGAGAAGGAAAAATAACTCAAAATAACTCAAGGTTAAGGTTAAGGTAACATCAGCCCCCAGCAATAACGTAAATTTTGAGACCCTAAAAGGTAGGGAACAAGTAGATAAGACAATAGGGGGCAAACATAAAGGAGGGATATGTAGAATTGTGTAGATTAAGTGGATATTTATTATGTGCTGTGTTGATGTATTGGATGTGTTTGTATGTACTTACGTCCGTCGGGGCAAGTATTGCCCTTTCTTTTTTATTATAATTCAATAAAAACTATTTAAAAAAAAAAGGGGGGGTCCCGAGTGGAAAAAGTCCTCTCTAAGCTACAATACCCTGCAGAAGGGGTATCAAAGACATTTTCATCAAGGGCCACATCAATCTTTACCTTCAAAAGGCCGTTGAATCCATGGAAAGAGATTCTGTGGATACAGAGGGTGAACTATATATATTTTTACATAGTGATTGGTTTTTGTTGGGTTTTTTTTCATGTCAGGAGTGACTCCTGGTGTGAGAGAATTGGCCGTCTGCAAGGATGTTGCCCAGGGGACGCCTGGATGATTTGATGTTTTTATCATCCTTGTGGGAGGTTTCTCTCATGTCCCCGCATGAGGAGCTGGAGCTGATAGAGGGAGCTCATCCGCCTCTCCCCGGATTCGAACCTGCGACCTTCAGTCCTGCCGGCACAGAGGTTTAACCCACTGCGCCACTGGGGGCTCCTAGCATACCCCATTTCGGTTCCCAGATATTATTTAACGACAACTCCCATCACTTTTTATTATCTGCCATGAGAACTGGGATAATAATAACTGCAACCCCACAGCACTTGTGGCTCTAAGTTTGGGGAAAAGTTAAAGGTCATTTTAAAGTCAGACATAATATCCACTAGCTCCGTTTCTCAATTCCAACCCCACTAACCTGACTAAACAGAACGAACTCAGCCCTCCATATGCTACTGTATCACAACTCTCAAAAGCTCTGGTCATGATATATAATTATGGGGAATACAGGAGTCATAGCCCAGTATGAGCCACAAAGAATGACATGGTGGGTCAGATATAGCCTGCAGGCCTTGAGTTTGACACATGCACCCTAGCGGCACCAGATCCCAATTGATCGTGGAAACTAAGCTAATTAATACTTGGATGGAAGACCACCAACAAACATTAGGTGCTGTAGGCTATATTCAGAGGAAATAACTGACAAAACCACTTCTGAGTATTCCAATGAAATTTCTGGAATCCCCCGCCTACAAGTTGAAAGGCAAGATTAATACACATGCAAATACACTCCTTGATAAAACTGTAAACACTTTATTGATAAACCAGGTATTTGAGTTCTCTAATTTATTTTTTTCAATCAGAAGTCATATTACAGTCAGCAACCAGTAGAGGCCTAGACATGGGTGACATCATAGTGGCCTACGTCTATTCCAAACTTCTTGGCTGTGCAAAATTTTTACATTTATACATTTTGTAAAGCTGTCTGGTTCATGCAATGGGCTTTGCACACATTATAGATGGTGACTAGATGATGTTACACGCTTTCATATCATTCTGAGGCAGAGAAGGAAATCAATTTCTCACCAACAGCCAGTATGTTTTATATTCGTAACACCTACGCTTGCTACCATTTCCTTGGAGCCAAATCCTGAAACATGAGGTGGCTCCCAACCTAGTTGCATATATTGACATCGTCTCACAAAACAAACACATAGATCAGTTTACATCACCTGTCTGATTCTTATCAGAGCTGAGAACACTTACACTGCTCTTGGTTCAGAAAAGACATCGGTGTGTATATGCATCATCAGATCCCCACCAGCAGCATACTCCATGACAAAGCAGACGTGATCTTTGGTTTGGAAACAGGCAAAAAGGTTCACCAGAAAGGGATGCCTTACACTGTTCACAGTTTCAAAAATCCGCTTTTCACACATGAGGCTGAAACAGAGAAAACATAATGAGGCCTAATCTTACTAATCTATGGTACAACAGAGAGAGGAAAAGGGAACCCAAGAAGAAGAATATTTACTTGTAGTTTGGAAAAAAATCAAGACATATATGTGAAGGGAATCACAATGCAGAACAGAGCGTTTCTAAAAACTGATTTGAGTCTTTTTCTCTCTGGTATCTTTATAGGACACACTAAGATTCAGTAAATAGAATTTTTAAAATCTGTAAGATCTTTCAAACTAAACTGATTCCTACTATTGTCAAGTAGACGAGAAAACTAACAGGTCTCTATGTACCAAGTATGGCTGGTGTTGGGCTCTCAGGAATATACATACTCCATCATTGAAACTGCCAACAGGCCAGAGATCAAAAAAGTTATATTTGGGACTATAACTTCCAGAATCCCCCAATCAGCGTATCTACTGGAGTAAAAGACTTAACTTTTTTTTTTTTTACAGAAGGGTCTTGACACATGTTATTGGTAGACAGATGAAACAGATGTATGTGCACACACTACTTGCCAGCATGTAGTGCATCTCTGTGTGCTTCTCAACCATACAGAGACGCACTGAAAATGATAATGGCTACAATCAACAGGAAACTAGATAAAAAGGCAGAAAGCAATCCCTTGGCCATAGGAAGTAAATGTGAACTAAAACGTGCCAAGGCCTGGAAAGTAGACTTGAAATGTGATAGTGATTTTTTTAAAGGAACAGTACTACAATGGCAAACAATTTCTTACAGACAGATACACAAATACAAGAAAAGCATAGCTAAACAGTTGTTTCCTAATGAGTAAATTGCTTCCTTTATACAGTTAGCAGTAATTATTAGACAATCTTCCAAATATGTGTGTTTAAGCAGGCTATAATCAATGTGTGTTTAATCAAGCCATTAACCCACCAATGCACATATCTAGTGAGATTTAACCTACGATTGGCAGCAGCCCGCTTCAACCTACAATGCACATACAGCTGCCTTTGAAATCAAGCAAAAATCTGAAAAGAAAATGGGTAGTATGGGAAACCAATAACAATTTGAAAAAGAAATTGTCAGAAAGATTTCAGGATATATTCAAGTGTTTGATCCCACCTGAAGTAGTGTTTTACTTTGCATCTTTTCAGTAGTTCTTTGAAGTTGTCTTTGCTTTGCTTAAACACAAATTCCTTAAAAAAGCACTGCTGGATCAAACTATCATCTTCTCCAACCCAGCATGATGTTCCCTCCCTGGGCAGCCAAACGCCTTGAGGAAGCCTATAGATAGGACACGTGACCATAGAAGCCTCTGGTTTGTGTTCCTCAGCACCTGGCTTTTACAGTTGGCAGTTTTGTTGCTCCTCTCTGCACCTTAAATAATATGGGGTCACCTACAAGCTTGGTCAATTAAACTTAATGAAGAAGCTGAAAAGTGCCAATTCCAATCGAGGCACAATATAATTACATCCGTCCTTCATACTGACCTGTCTACTTCATCACGAGCAACAATATCTCCTTTCTTTAAGGCTTTAATAGCAAACATTTCATTTGTATTTTTATACTCAGCCAACAGGACCTGAAACATAAGACAATTTGTACAATGAGTTGTTTTTCCCCATGGTATATTTACGATTTTAAAAATAGTATTTAATTTTTTCAATTTTTTTTAATTATGCTGCTCATGAAGCACATCGATAAACCAATTAAGTAAAATAATAATCCAATGCTGCATGCAGCCATGAAGGGAATAGATTAAGGAAGAACAATATGGAAATAGATCAAAAATAGTCATTGTTGTCAAATTTACCTTTCCAAAGTGTCCTCTACCAAGTACAGCACAACATCGAAAGTCTTGTAAACTGAACTGAAATCTCTGTTGTATCCTGAAAAGCAACAATGTAGAGAATCAATAAGATTTCTCCACAATAATGGGCTGGATTATGTAGATTTATGTAATTTTTTTGTAAGTTGTACCTTCTATCTTCAGTCTCTCGTTTCGTATATTCTGTATCAGAGTTTGAAATCTGAGTCTCGCAAATAATCTCTGGTGGAAGTTTCGGGATAAAATTGTTTCTGTCATTCTCAAAATCGAATGTTCCTGTATCCTGTGAAAGGTGTAAAAGAAAAAACAGCCAGAAGGTTTAAAAAATGAAAATGCTAGAAATAGAAGTCTGCTTAGTCTAGAAGAGATACATCACTATTATTATTATTATTATTATTATCCCACTTTTCTCTCATGGGTGGGACTCAAAGTGGTGAACAAATGGTTAAAAAACAGAAATTACAATCACGCCTTCAAATTTACAGTCACAAAATTCAAAATCTCTGCTTCATCTAAAAACCTACTAAAAGATGCATAGTCTAAGAAGCATGCTATAAAATACTTCTTTAAAAAAGTACCTACATTACTTTGGCATTTTAAAGTGAATGTACAATGCATGTATTCTTATTATTAATAAGAATACATATTATGAAGCCCAAAGAACACATCAAGGATATATGAGGTATTTAATGCCTCTGTAAGGGAAGAAACAAAAATGTTTTCTCCTCAGAATCATAAGGATTGATGATAGTTATCATTGCCTCTATTCTATTTTGAACTGATTAGGCTTTTAAGAGGATTTATTATAATAAGAATTATGATTACCAAAAGATGCAATGCATTTCTTTAAACAGTTAAATAAGGTGTGGTTAAAGGTCAGGCAATATTGACTTAGGCTGTGTGAAATTAGACTCCAATATCCATACAACCACTTCAATTGCCACAGCTGCTTAGCTTTGTAGTTTGGGATGGTATTTAGAATCCTCTGCCAGAAAGTACTAGTAGTACTAGAGAATCTTAAGTGTTCTAATAAATCAACAAATTCCTGAATTCCTTTGGATGGAACAGTTAAAAGTATTTACTTATTAAAACTGTGCAGTGTGGCTATTTCATTCTAATCAGCCCAGAGAGCTTGGGGTTGGGTACTGCAACCTTCCCTGAACCACAAACACATAACACTTTGGAAACTAAGCAAAAGATAAAAAGCAGTCTTTGCGATATGCCATGAGGTAGGGAGTCTGATGAGTGGTAGGGGGCCCTAAATTTTCCTTGGTTCAGTTCAAACTTTAAATATTTTTGGGGCTTTTCAGTGTCCCAAACCTCCTCCTAGAACAGAGCCAGCTTCTGAGAAGTACTGAAGGCTTCATGAGAAACAGGAGAGGAAACTGGATCCTGACCAAGGTATATTTTAAAGCATCAAAACACTACTTAAAAAGAAGCATGGCTTTATCAGCTAGATACTTATTTGTTTCATAACCAAATTCTAAAACTCCTATAACTAATACACTCACACAGAGAGAAGAACTAAATGCTTTCCTGTAACTGTGTTTCTTCAAGTGGTGGTCTGTGAAATTTGCATATATGAGTTATCCGTGCATGCAGTTAGCTCGGCTGCATGGCACATGCACGGATAACCCATTTATGTGATTTCACAGACACCACAAAGAAGAAATAACCATACACAGAAAATTTTAACAATGGGAGAGCCTTGTATAGCAATATATACTGTATTTCATTACATAATAGCCGCACCCCCATTTTTTTGGGTGCCAAAATGGTGTTTTGTTTTCTTCGCAGAATATTCACTTCACTTGAGGCTGATTCTCCCTTCCTTACTTCCTTCTCCGAAGGCAAGGCAGTTTAAAAGCTACAAAATAGAAGTCTCCAAATTTCCACTCTTTTCTACTTTCTCTTTGGCAGGGCAGTTTTAAAATTCATTCCAGGTTTTGTAAGCTGCCTTACAAAAGAAGGGAAGAATGCTGCTCCAAAGACCTCCATTTTATTGTTTTAAACTGCCTTACCTTTGGAGGGAGGGAGGGAGGAGAAGGGCAGGCAGGCACAAAGGGAAAATCAGCCCCAAATAGCTTTATAATTCTAAAACAAACAAACAAATTGAAATGGAGTTGTTTGTTTGGGGCTGGATCATTCCTCCTCCTCCCCTTTTAGAAAGAAGACATTTTATTTTAAAAAACCAACCTAATTTTTTCCTAACATAATAGTCTCACCCTCAGTTTTTGATTTAAAAAGGGTGAATGAATGAAATTATGGTAATTGTTATCAACACATGCCAGTGAGAAGCATAATGTAAAACAGTCAATTGTGCTGTTGCTTTATATGTATATCAGAAGTCTTGCCTGACTGGGCGTTGCTGGAGCTTTCGGCTCAGGTGAAGGTTCGCTTATTTCTCCAAGAGAAGAAGCCCGGGGTGGAGTACGTGGGGTTTCAGGTTCAAGTTCAAATACCAATTTGGCTACAGGACAGTCACTTAAAAAGAAAACAATTTTTTGTGAACACAGTGACAATTTTGCGAGAATATAAAAATAGGCTAATTACTATAATGTCAATTTTTAACAACACAAGGAGAAAATAAACTTGTTCCAATGTTTCAGCTCAATTGTACTTTACTTCATGCTTTTCAACCATTTACCTAGTCGGGGATCCTAATTCAGGAAGATGGGTATCAACTGCTGACACTGTAGGAGGCACTGAAGCTTGAGGACTGAAGGTACCAGTATGATTTACTGTAGGAATAGCTCTTCTCACCAGCCTCCCCCAAGTAGCAATATTAATATTCATTTGAGGAGCTCTGAGAAATGTTTTGCCTGTGGATAAGAAAAAAAGAGCACAGCATAAGTAATCTTTTTACTTATAACCGAAGCTATAATTAAATAAGGATTCATATTCATTAGCTTACTGTATGTGACAAATAAACTGAACATGACATATTCAATTCCTTCTATTTTTTAAAAATAGATTTCCTTATTTAACACCCTATCTTAAAATGTCTAAACAAACATCTTTGCACAAAATGTTGGCATTTCCATTCAATGTCTATATCCATCAAATTTTGTTACCTTGCTGCTTGGAGAAAATTTTCTTTTGTCTTTGAAGTTTTGGTCTTCTTTCAATAACTGGGTTAAAAAATGTGACCTGTAATTTAAACAAGATGTACTCACTTTCAAAACAAGGATTTTTAAAACTTATTCATGACCTTCAATATTTTTTTTAAAGAATACTGGCTCTTACCTCTGCAAAGAGAGTACCCTGGGGTTCTAGATATAGACACATGCCATGTCGTTGGTTGTCTAAGAAGTCTTCTAACCTCAGAAATTTCACTGCACACAGAGATCGCCAGTCACGCCAATACACAGAAATTTCTAATTCTCGTGACTGAAAGGAGATGACACATAAATATTAAATTTAGGTAGTTGCTACAGTCTGAATAGCTCAATGAGACATCTATTCTAGGAACAATTTATAATCAATTTCGACAATACAGTTCATAATCAATGTATTGGTTTGCCATATAGTTCACTTAATGGTAGCAGGTTAAAATGTTCTTTAACTTTTCCCCAACCTCAGAGTCACAATTGCAATTCCCATTATCTTCAGTTCACATGGCAAATAATCAATTGATGGGAGTTGTTATTCAATAACTTCTGGAGACCCAAACTGGGTAGAAACTAAAGAGCACAGACTGCTAAGTAAAAATATATAGTTGCTCCTCTGTATCCACAGATTCTCTGTCCATGGATTCAACAGCTCTTTGAAGGCAACCATAGCCTTCAAGATGAATCTGAAGGGACCATAGAAGAATCCCTTTTCTTTCAATCTCACCTCATCAAATTATAGATAAGGTGGAAAGGGCTTCTTTCGCATTATTCTCAGAGAACTCTAGTATTTCTATAGATATTTTCACAAGAGCCTATTGCAAAATTCCAATACTATGTTCCCTGGCTATTGGAAACAGTTACAAAATACCAATATACAGATTCAATAAAATGTACTTTGAATAATTCATTTTACAAAACATGATTCATAAAATATATTATTCCACAAGATAAAATATTGCTTTCCAGAACCACTTGTAACAAGCTCAATACAGGCAGAACAAATACTGTAAGAGTTTAATTCTCAAAAGGCTGATGTGGCATTAGGTACTGTGGGTGTGTAGTATGTATTCTGATATCGAATGAAACAAAGATAGGTTACACTTCAATTTACAAATGCAAACAGGTTTTCGTCTTTCTATGACACATGATCACATCTCATCATTGGATCGTATGGCAACAATTTTAATCATTGCAATGGCCTCAATCTCCATTTGTAATCTAGTTCACATTTTCTCTCTCTGTAGCAGGAGCTGGTTTGCATATGTCAATTGGCTTCAATACCCAGACTTTCTCCATGGTATACAGACATTCCAGTGAAAGTTGAAAGATTAAATCAATGGGAATTAGGTGTCCAGCTCACTATTAGATTCCACTATATGCCAAGGAATTAATACACACTTCTTTTGCCCTATACTGAGTGGCACATAAATGCTTGTTCAATACTGTTTTTTGCTTAGATGGTATTACTTGGCATTGCAAACTGAAAATCAATTGACACTATTATTTTAAAAGAAATTACATATATTAACAAGTTTTTTTGGAATAATAAAAAACCTGTATCAAGTCTTTTAAGTATTTCTGTGCTTTAGCCAAATAACAATTTGATTTTGCTTACACAAACCATCTGGCAGTCTGTGAAAATAGCAATAAAACATCAAATCGGGTGGTGGGGAAAATAATTTTAAAAATATTTTCTTGGCTAAATATGGAGCCTGAACTTTCAAAGTCTCAATTTCAAAAAATCTATGCCATGAACTTGTCTAACAGAAGAATATACTTTCTATCACCATATTTTCTCTTTTCACACTTCATTCATATTTTTCCAATATGCCAGTTCTGATTTTTTTAAATGCTTTCCGTAAAATTCTGCATACATATGATCTGCTAGACAACACTTTCATTTAAATTCAACCATGGTCTTTAAAATTTTTTTGGACTTGCCAAAATTTTCAAAGGTACAAATGTTTCAGCTTTGATTAGATTCCTTTCTCAGAAGTAACTCTCACTGTGTTGAATAGAGCTTACTGTGATTCCTAAACTCTAGTCCTCTATACATTTTTGACTTCAACTCTCTGAAACCCCAGCTGCTTTGTACAATGATCAAGGACTGTTGAGGATTCCTCATCATCAGAAGAGGAAGGGGATCAGGGAGGTGCTCAGGTCTTGGAGGGAGAGGAAGAAGAATCCGACAATGAGGTTTTGCAGGTGCCTACTTTTGTAGAAAGACGGAGGGAGGTCAGCTCGATTAGCTGCTAAAAGATTGATGAGCTAATTGGGTGACACCCTAAGCCCTCCTGCGTGGGGTATAAATCAGAAGCAGGAAAACTTAGCTTTTCACTGCTAACAACAACTCTGTTACTGTCGGAACCTGCTTTGTGACTCCGTGATCTGTGCCTTTATTGTTTGCTGATTTTGCGGGAACTTTGCAAAATATTTATTATTTATTTATTTATTTACAGTTCTTATATTCCGCCCTTCTCACCCCGCAGGGGACTCAGGGCGGATTACAGTAAACACATATATGGCAAACATTCAATGCCAGTTTGACAAACAACATTTAACAGACAAATACACCGAGGCTATTTAACTTTTTTTTTCTGGCCGCCAGGGGAGCTGCTGCTTTTCATCGTCCATCAACGACACCGATGAAGTTCTTCCGCATTCCACATTCCCCGGAGTCTTTTTTCTTTATGGCCTCATAAATTAGTTAAATTTAGCCTCCCACACAAGGTGGTACCTTATTTTCCTACTTGACAGATGCAACTGTCTTTCGGGTTGCAAAGGTCGACAACGGGCTACACAATGGCTGGACACCCACTCCAGCCCGGGCTGGCTTCGAACTCATGACCTTTTGGTCAGAGTGATCTTAATGCAGCTGATACTCAGCCAGCTGCGCCACAATCCCGGTGCTTTCATTGGTGTCTGCAGTAAGACTTCCTTGTTTTCTTTTTCAATTGCATTTGCTTATTTTGTTTGCTGGAGTAAAGCATTTTTCTTTTATTTTCAATTTTGTATTGAGGCTGTTTTTTTAAGAGCAAAACAGGACAGGGACTCTGGGAGCTGAAGTCCAAAACACATAGAAGACCAAAGTTTGGGAAACAATGGTTTTACACAGTGAACTGAAACATCTTTCCTTATTTTCATCTTATTTAACCTTTGTTAAGTAGAAATTAATATTGCGAAGATATAATAAGTCATGCACCATGTCTAAATACTCTGATTTTTTTTAATTTTTCAATGGAAGCATGTTCATTCCTATTTTAAAAGATTGTTTCATACATCAGAGTATTAACAATGAACAGATGCCAATACAACAGTTGAAAGCTTGGCAGTTTCAAAATTATATTGGATTTTTTGAGGTGATTATCTCATGAAATGTGTGTGACAGTACATATGTTTTATTGATTTGTGAACAGAAGAAAAAGATAAAATACCCCTCCCCCTAAATTACATGTAACAAATCAAAGCAATATCAACATGTGAATTCACTGTGTTGCGAAGGTGAAATCAAAAGCAGAACTAAAAGTGTGATTAGTTTTTGTTTTGCTTTCAAACAAGTCGTGACTTCTTTCTTTTTGAGTTGAAGCTCGGAAAGTCAGAATGTATTTGTATACCACCTGTTAAGTCTTTTGGTTATCGTAAAGAAGTAGATATTCTAATCAGCTAGAAAGTTTTTAGTAATCATGAGTCAAACGATCGTGCTAATCAGATCATGCCTTATTAAGGGCACTGGACAGGTTTATGGAAAACTCATTTCTCATCCTTCAGGAGCAGAGTTTCAAAAGGGATATAGGGCTGTTGAAGAAATGGGGAAGGCAAGAAAGCTCTACCATTCAGGGAAGAGAATTTAGGATCCAAATCAGGATTTTTTGTGAATACAGATATATTAAACTAAGTTACTAAGGGGTAAATCACAGTTAACATTATAAACAGATTCTTACTCTGTCAAGTTCCAGTGTAAATTTCTGATCCCATGACTGATTGGAAATAGGCTTCCAGCTAGTTTGATCAACCACAGTATTGTCCAACTTCAAAACAGCACAGATTTCATCTGTAAGTAAATTACACAAACTCAGCTTAGAATTTTAAGAGGATTTACCAGGAACAACAGCCCAGGCAAGGACTGATTGCATGGCTGGAATGATACAAACACACACAATTGCCTAACAAGAGTCTATGACCACTTTACAGTAAACACTTTCAAATCTGCTTAGTCTCTTTCCTTAACTTACACTTATTTAGTAACAATCTGTAACTGTACTGAACTTTCCAAATAGGAGAGGAGAAGAAAACTGAATTTGACATTTTCAAAACTATCAGGTGTAAGTGAGGTTTGGATTTTTGTTCTATAGCTACATACCTCTTCTTGAGCAGACCTGGTTCTATTGATACTGGCACCAAGATGTTGCATTATGTCCTTAAAAATTGCCACATCAAACATCCAAGAGCTTGAACTCCCAAAAAGCTGTTTAACTGGACCCTCAGTTACTGCTGTGATGTCAAAGCTAAATACTTCATCTCCTTGTATCTACCATCCCCTCTCCTGGTACTATTAGGTGGTCTGGATAGGGAAGTGAATAGAGCAGCAGCGGCTTTGAGACCTTCTGCCTCCCCCCAGTATTGGAGGAACTACAGAAATAAATTTATTATATCACCTTCAAAAATTTAGGTTGTTTATATGAAAATTAAATGCAAAAACGAACAGTGTTCAATCCAAACATTTAAAATTTTGGGCCTAATCCATGTGGTAAATGTAGCACATGGGGGGTGGGCTTGCACTTATAAAAAAAAAGCCAATTATTCCTTCCTGTTTGCTGCTCACCCTTTAAAGGATGATCTAAATCCAGTGGATAGTTCCACCTCAAACAGCTGAGACACTGAAGTGGCACAAGCTCTGGAATTTCCACTGAAATCATAAGAATCATATTCTGGGATGCTGCTGTTGCTATTCCACTTCCATTTTAGCCTAGCTCATTCAGAATCAAGCCCAATACCCTTCATGATACTCCCTTATTATTGCTACTGACATTCTGGAACAGTGCTTATCAAGTCAGGTGTATAATGAAACAGAAAGCCTGTTCAAGAACTAAGCCTTAATGACCTCAGGTGCTTGAATACACTTGTTATAAAAATAGTACAATTAATATCAGATTTTACACATATTCACTCTCAAATGGCTTCAGGAAAGCCTGTTTATAAATAGAAAAGAGGAAAAGATACTAAACTGGACAAGTCATCTGTTTTCAGCAGATTTCGGCTACTTGCACTTTTACTTTTGCTTGTTCGACTCATGAAAGATGATCTGGCTTCACTTGGGCTGCATCCAGGCAGAGTAATGGAGGTGGCTTTTGATCGACCAGGGACATTCTCCAGAATATCTTGGCAACCCATTAGTCTAACTTCCAAAGTACCTAAAGGAAAAAAAAGGGGGGGGGAATTGGATTGTCTTGACTCATATCTCTAGTACAGTGTGAACACTCACAAATATATTAGCTCCTAAATGGCAGTGGCACAAGACTTCAGGAGTATTACAAAAGGTGTTCCCATTAAGAAGCCTAATTTTTACATTGAGACTATGGCCAAGTCCTTACTGAATTTCCGGTGGCTAGAATAGGTTAAAATTGTTCATTCTTCAGCACTTGTGCAGTGGTAACTAGAGGGTCCAAAGTTACAGATATCACACTTACAATGACTGATCAAAGGAGTGCAAGCACATGGGAAAGAAAAAGCAGTGACTGTTGGCAGCACCCTTGTGGCTATTCAATGATTGAGGAGAGGGAAGTTGTCTGGCTTCCAGTTTGTACCTGTGGAAAAGATATTGCATAAGAAGGTTCTGCCTACCTTCTTGTGAAATATCTCTCAAGTATTTATGCTGGTATAATCAAGGACTGTTCCAGCACATGTGATTACAAGGATTCTGGACTATGAGATGGATCCAGACTTGATGACAGCATGTGCACTGAAATCAATTGGGTTTAGGTTAGCCATGAATTTAGCTGTGGACTAGGGCTCTGTTCTACATATGGTCAAACACGAGTACAAAACACTTATTTATGAAACTCTGAACAAATGTGATCCCTTTCACGTGTCAACAGCTTTTATAGCATTACCCACGACTTTTAAAGCATGCAGCTTATTTCTCTTATGCACTGCATTGTTGACGCTTACAGTAAAGAAAGGAAATCAATGTATACAATTCCCTTTATATATTTCTATTGTGAAATACTGCAGTAATTTCCAAATATGATCCTATATATTTGACCAGGAGTGGTGTATGTGTGTGTGTAAGTGTACACACATGCACACACACATTCTGCAACGACTTCAGCTTAAAAACTAAAGTCATTTTGGAAAACACAAGTGAACAGCTGTGCTAGCGCTTCTAATTTGGTTGTTTATTAAATAATTTAGTAAACAACATATTAGGAGCAGAGCTTTTATTCAACACCTGCTTCAAGTTAGCAAATAAACTCTACAGGGATATATTTAAGATCTTCATTAAGCATATGAGATATCTTGGAATTTATTTTCTTTATGAAGCGCTGCAATTACAGATGCACATGCAGACTGTTGAGAGGAACTGCTGGACGATATAGTCTCAACTTTCATAACCCCTGCGCAGACATTTATTCTTGTGGAATACCAACTCTTAATTTCTTGTATTTAATTACTTTAATCTAGAAAACCCATTAGCACAAGTAAATGGGAGATGCATTTTTATGGACTGCTGCTGCCTGAAATCCTCTCTTCGTGTTATTAGCAAAGTTTTAATGTTTTGTTGAAATCTCCCATTTGGAAAAAGATAATTTTCACCAACATTCAGTGACATTCGATTATGACCGCACTACATTTCTAACACCTTGTCCAATATTGTCCTCTGGGACTTCTCAGATTTCAAGCACTCCATCTACAAATCCGATGTTAAAGAACAGTGGTATGCCTGTTTACAATGCATTTTGAAAATTATGATCAAGCATTCTAACATATTGACTCAAAATCTGTCAGTGGAAAGTCATAGTAACTGATACAAGGAGCAGAAAACTGAATTCTTTTCAGCTTGTCAAACTACAGGATGACTTTATTATTCGCTCATTCTCTTTATGAAAAAAACTTAGAAAAGTAGCAACTTTCTGTTAAAACTTCTGCCACTAAAAATATAAACTTAATAAAGTAGAATACAACTTTAAAGAAGTATGATTGAGATCCTGAAGTTAGTGCAGACAAAAATTTATAATGATGATGATGATAAACTTTTATTTATACCCTGCCACCATCTCCTAAAGCAGTGGTTCTCAACCTGAGGTCCCCAGATGTTTTTGGCCTTCAACTCTCGGAAATCCTAACAGCTGGTAAACTGGCTGGGATTTCTGGGAGTTGTAGGTCAAAAACATTTGGGGACCCCAGGTTGAGAACCACTGTCCTAAAGGGACTCGAGTGGCTTGATGTCATACAACACATAAAATACAATATAACAACATTACAACCAATAACACATTTAAAACCAAATATATAAAATAACAAGATCAATAGAATCAATAAAATATGGCAAAGGTAATTAATTAAATTAAATTTACCACCTCAAAATGCTAACATCTAAGAAAATACATTTCTTTTTTATAACTTTATGGAAGATTTTAAAAATACATTAAACATTACAAAGATGGGAAACAAAAAAAGTTAAAAATAAAATTTAAGTTCAAGAGTAGAGTAAAAATAAGAGAAAAAGAAGAAAAAGGCTGCCGATTTGCCTTTTGATAATTATATATACATAATTATTTGTGGTTCTCTCTCCAAAATTTTCAAATAATCTTTTCTTTCAATAACCTACTCTTTCTAAACATCAATATGAAAGTTATGAAGTCATTTTTTTCACACAAAGGTCTATAAAAGGGCTTCTAGCCTTTGAGAAATAGTTATATACAATTTGTCAAATTCTGTTAAATCTATAAATGTTTATCAATCTTTTCCTCCTGAGCATGTTGAAATCCTCCTTCTTTTTAAAGGTCTTAAGGTATGGTATTACCAATTTCAATTCCTTAGACAACTTATTTTCCCATTAACATGCATATTACAGCCAAAATATGTAACCCATTTTATCATATACTACTTAATTTCTCTTTTTCCTCATCAAATTTCCACAAAAGCATACATTTTAGCAAATTATCTATTCATTTAACTATCTTTTTAAAAGATGTTTTTTTATGCCATTTGTAATTGAAAGACATATTGTAAATGCAAAGACTGAATATTTTCACGTGTTTTTAATGAGAGGAAAAGGAAGAAAGAAAAATCAACCTGACAAGCCAAGGAACACAACAAACCTGTCAAAGCTGCTGGTTTGGACAGTGTACTGTACTGATTCTGTGTAGATATTGTGCTTTGCCGTGGACTTAGTGTTGGTGATGAAACAAGCGAAAGCTCTTCTATAATAATACTGCTTTTGGGATGATTTTTAGGGAGTTCATTTAGTCTTTGTTCTAATGAATACTTTAAGAGGTCCAGCTTCTGACTTGATTCATTAAATCTTGCTTGAGCCTTATTCAAATAGGAAAAAAACCAGAAAAGGTAAAATTATACCTTAAATGCAACAGCTTTAACACAACAGTCATATATTATATTAAAGGTACCTCTGAGAGTGCTTTTCTGTCAGTAACTTTCCCAGATCCAAGCAACTTCATCACATTTTTTGCTCCTTCTGCTACTGCGTATTCTATCCTAAAATGATGCCGCAGTTCTTCCATTCGAAGCTCAAGAGGGCTTATCACAGGCTTTTCTACAGATGAAGAACATATAGAAGTATTCAGCACACATGCAAGTAGCATTAGTTTTTCTTTAATATTTAGAAGCACTATAAAGATTAGAATGAGAAAGGCTAGTTAGATACCAAACACATTACCAGCTGCAATCAAGTTTGATAAGGAAACTAAAGAGTTCTGACTTGTGCTGGAGCCAGAGTGCATCTTGTCTGCCCTATCTTTGCAGATAACTTTGCTCCTGAAGCTCCTTGCTTTACCTGGGGTTCAGAGAAGGAGTGCCCCTGTTATTAGGCAACAATTCTTAATACAGTTACAAATGATTGTGTAGCTGAATGGAAGTGGTGTCATCGGATTCCATTTCCTCATATTGGCTGTTATGACTATATTAATGCTGGGTTACTGTGACTTTTTCAGGCTGTATGGCCATGGTCCAGAAGCATTTTGCTCACATCTATGGCAGGCATCCTCAGAGGTTGTGAGGTCTGTTAGGCTGTCTCTCTAATACAGTGGTTTCCAACCTGTGGTCCACAAGACCTAAAATATGGTCCTGATGTGGTCTATCCAATGCAATTTTCTGAATCAGCTCCCCAAATAACCAAGCCGAATCTAAAGTTGACCAAAAACTGATTTGTAACCCTTTTGATACTAATGTTGGAGAGTGGTCCCTGGTCAAAGTGGTCCCTGGTCAAAAAGGGTTGGGAACCACTGTTCTAACATATGAATGCCTGGACCGAAAGGGCTGATTAAGGAAATACAGAAGCACCTGATATTACACAGTTGATAAAGTCCAAAGAGTATTTTTGTTACAGTTGCTTTTAGTGATTCGGATTATGTTATTACCTTCCACTGATCACATTTCTTTTTTCTCTACAGAGCTTTTGAAAAATTCTTCTACTTTAGTCCCTTTCCCTTTAAGGTATGCACACAAAAGCTATACCTTGACAATTATATAATAGCAAGGATGGAGAGCTTGTGACTCCCAGTTGTTGGAAATATTGTTTTATTCATGCTCTAGTCCCTACTTCAGGGATGAAGAAACTTACAATTCTCCAGATCTTACTGGGCTGCAGCTCTGAGGATACTCCACCATTGTCTATGCTGAATAGGACTGAAGTTATTTGCACCCAACTTCTGGAGAGCCACAAAATTCCTATACTGAACTGCTGAACAGGAATCTAAAAGTTAACATACTTGAGGGGCTTTCTAGTTTTATAACTTAAAACGGTCAGATTCACAGCTAATAAAGAAAAGCATTTTTGTGACACTATTAAGTTAAACTGACCCCTTTTTCTTTGTGATTTATAGAAAAAGACATACATTTTTTTAAACATCTCTGTACACTATATCGTTTCCGAACTACCAAAAATCTACACACTCATACTGTAATTACTTCTGGAACTCTCTCCCACTGGAGATTAGAACTGCCCCTTCTCTCCTGACTTTTAGAAAACTGGTGAAAACTTGGCTATGGAATTTAGCATTTGATGAGTGAGTCAATAACTCCTGACCACACGGACGGATGGCGATGAATTGTGACTTCATTCTGACGACTTGGCCTTATGTAATTATATGACTGTATTTTAATGTGTTAGTGTATTATGGGATGTGATGTTTTAAACTATTGTTTATGAATCTTTTGTTGTGAACCCCTCTGTGGAGGTCGAGAAGACCGGTATAGAAAAGTTCCCAATAAATAAATAAATTTTGTCTGCCAACTGAGCTGCAGCATCTCTGTGAATTTTTACTTTCTGTTTCTGTATTCCACAGTACCCCATTCTTTCTCTGGTAAATGTTTAAATCAATTCAAATAGAAAGAAGGTCTTGAATTTAGTGAGGCATCCAACATAATAAGATGACTGCAACAGAGAAGAGGTCTAGCATCCATTTCACCACATCTCTTTTGACACTGGATTATCACAACGAAGTCACTTGTGCCCGCATTTCATATGTCAAATTTTAAATGCATCTCTGAATGCATTTTAAATGAACCATCTGAACAAAACAATAAGAAGCTATCAGGCTGCTCAGGCAAGCTTATACCCAACATACAAATGCAGGGGTTCTCAAACTGTGCTCCGTAGAGCCCTTGGGGCTCCGTGGATGATAGTGAGAGGCTCCACGGTGCCATGCTGCTTCCCACCTCCTGCTCTTTCCTCCTCCTGAGAAATGCAGGGAAATTAAAGTTTTGAGCTGCAAGAAACAACAGCAGCAGCATCCTCACAGGGCACAGAACGTTTCCTCTCGCCTTCCTCACAGCCTAGACTCTATTCCTTGCTGCCCAGACCTTCCCCCTGCTTTTTTTGTTTCCAAAATCCTATTTCCCTTCCACCGCTTAGAGGTGCCTTGATTGTGCTTTTCCTGCATGCAGAAGAGATTTGGGCTGGATGGGCCGGGAAGGGGGGGGGGGGGGGCTTCCACTGAAATACTGTTAAGTTTATGTTAGTTAACATTATTCTTGATTTTAATCTTTCCTTCCATCTTTCCTTCCTTCCTTCCTTCCATCCATCCATCCATCCATCCATCCATCCATCTGTTTTAACTGTGCGAATTAGTTTACACAAACACTCTCCATCCATCTGCCACTGGCCCAGCCCATGCCTGACAAACACACACACACACACACATTTCTTGGAGCTCCACGAGAAACTTTCACTTCAAAAGGGGCTCTGCAGCTGAAAAGGCTTGAGAATCCCTGTACTAATGTATAAATCTGGCAATTTTAGTCAAAAGTTCAACCCAAAATGTCCATGGATCAATGTGAGTACTGTATCTTAATTCGTATATACGATATAGATATAAGGAACCATCCCCTTCTCTTAGTAGAGTGGCAACATACAAAAGCTTTGTCCATTGCAAGAGATCCTTAAAGAAGCATTAAGCCTCTTTATTCTCTCCACTGTGGTGCTGCTTCTAACCTTTTTTGAATGCGTGGGTGGGGAAATGGCGGTGGCTGCAGTCAGCAGCGGCTACTCCTTGAGATGGCACTAGTGCTTTCCCTTCTCCATGGAATGACCCTTGATTTACCCGTGCATTATATCAAAATTCATCATTTTTGTCCCAAAATCTGCTCTTGTCTTATATATGAGATTTGCTCATACAAAAGTATATACAGTATTGTTGGTATTTAAACATTATACATAAATGGACTAGCACATGTTTTAAGAACATTTAGAATTGTGACCAAGAACATGAAGAAACATCTTTTCACACATGCAGATAGTATTTATCTGCATAAATCAAACTTCCGTCTAAGAGGAAAAACTAAGTAGGTATAATAAAGCAGATTCTCCTATATCCCCCTACCAACACCTCTGATCTAGTTGGAGAAACTATAGATATTTGCCACAAAGTGAGAATGGGTTACCAACAATGGGGACTTGGTATAGCCCTACATAATTAAAACAGCCCTGAAAGATCACAACTGGTCTAAGTGGTAGTGTGCACCAAGCCTGTTACAGAATATAAGAACATACAATTCCCTTCCCTTCAGCAAAAATGGGAGAAGGAAGAAAGGTTGATTGCATTAGCGGATGCTATAGCTTTAACCTAGTATCTTTCTTGAAAGTTCCAAGGATATTTGAATTGGAAAATAAACAAGATTCTAACAACAGTTTCAGGACAGTGAGTCTATGTAATGCTTCACCATTATCAAAAGCCAATTCATTTGTCTGGACCGCCTGAAGAATCTGCATCCTTATAACTTCAATTTTTGTCTTGCTGTCCTGAAGCAATTGTTGAGCTGCCGCAAGCAGCTTTCTATCCTGAAAAAGAAAAACAAATGTTTTCTTAAAATACGAATTCACAAGTGAGATTCAAACAACAGTAATCTGTGTGATCCCGTCAGCACATGAATGCGAACTCAGACTGCTATGCAAAATATTTTGAAGTCTACTTTCTCAATCTTATTTTCCTATTTACATTTTCACATAGTTGCCTGAACTCTACATGAAATAGGCACTCGTTCAACTTACTGTATTTCAACCTAACAAGAGTACTTCTAGAAGACAGAGATGCACTAATGATATAAGTGTTATCCAATGAAGTGAAAGTCAATGAAAATTCACAATGGGTTGTTGTAGGTTTTTCTGGCTGTATGGCCATGTTCTAGAAGCATTGTCTCCTGACATTTCGCCTGCATCTATGGCAGGCATCCTCAGAGGATGCCTGCCATAGATGCAGGACGTCAGGAGAGAATTCTCTGAGGATGTCTACCATAGATGCAGGCGAAATGTCAGAAGACAATGCTTCTAGAACATGGCTATACAGCCCGAAAAACCTACAACAACCCAGTGATTCCAGCCATGAAAGCCTTCGACAAAATATCTATCAACATTGTTTCAACTCAAACTCAAAATACAAACACAAACAACAATGTGACATTATACAATTCAGTGCATAATCCAAGCATTTTTGTACTAATTGTGGTGATATCTGAAACATTCACTCATGGCTGAAATTCCTGAAAATTGTTATAGGCACCCACTGATTCCACAAATAAGTCACAATAAGATTTTCACCAAAATATTTCTATCTATAATAGAGTATCCAAGGTATGTTCACAAATTAGGCAAATAATTACTCACACATAGTACACAGTTAAGAGGGAGGAAATCTCCTTTTAATGATAGAAGATTAACAGAAGCTTGGAGGAAACTGCTTCCTTCTACATTAGAACTGCTATCCTAAGATTAACAGTGTAATTTAGCATGTACAATTGAAACAGTGCCTCAAAAACTACAAATTGAGTTTCAGAAAGGTCAGTGAGCCATCAGGAAGCAATTTGAACTGCCAACAACCAGTCCTTGTAATTCATCTGGCTCCTTTGCAGTAACCTGAATTTCTTTAGCGCTTTTTTCTATATAGCAGATTCTGATTCCAAGTTATGCTTAATGATGTGCACTATTTCTGAGCTTGTGACATTTCCAATGTGTGTGAGTACATATGTTTTAATCATCAGGCATTTCATAACATGGCAAGGGGACATGAAAAGCAAAACAGTAAAAGCGTATTATATTATAAACCTCTATGGTTATCAAATTGAAAGATCCCTTCAAAAGAAGCAAACCCAGATAAGATTTCTACTTTCCATGGTACCAAGTGTCAAGAAGTTCATTCAAATTATGTTTCAATGATCACACTTATGCAAACTATTTTTGATATGCTATCCAAATCAACATTTTTATCTGCCTTTCAAAATGTTACAAACAGATTCTAAATTGACAGTTTAAAAGCAAGATTAAATATAAAATCTTGTTGCAATCAAACATGAAGTACATCTGATGATCAGTACAAGTTTTAAAAAACAAAACAAATTATGGCCTCTTGTATGTCTTACCTTTGATGGACCATTTGAATACATATGGATCATGTTCTCAGCACCCTGTTTTACTTTCAATTCTATATCCAACTGCTTTTTTAAGGCCATCAGCCTATTGTTAGTAGGAAAACGAGGATCACTGTTTGGTGTATCTGGAGTTCTGGGACAATCTGTGAATTAAAAGCATAGCAACCATATGTTATAATCAACAACTAATCTTCTAATTCTATCAAATTTATTATATTCATTAAAAAGACAAAATCAAAATATGTATGTTTCCCAGATGTAAAACGAAAACTTAAAAGAAAACTTAGAGTAAAAGAAAAAGAAAAGAAGGGCCAAAATACATTTAAACAATATTATTTACTGAATCTTTGCAGCAGAAAAAATGATTTTAGTCCATTTTCCTATTACTGTTTTGTTGATACCAATTTCTATAAAAAGCAAAAAGTACTTCTAAATTCTTCCTGAATATTTTAATAAATTAGGAATAGTCCATTTTGCTCATCTTTGTAAAAATCATACACACACACATTTATTGTGTTTTCTTTCATTTTATCCTCACAAGAGCAACACTTTTCATTACCAGGGATATCTTTCACCAACTGTGGCCCCAAAAAGGAACTGTTCAGGAGTTATGTAGGGACTGTGAAAGGGGTAAGGATTCTTCTGTCAATTCCAGCGACTATATACTTAATAGTAAGCAGTCGCGGAGATTAATAGAAGGATTCATCCCCCTGTCAATCAGGAGGCAGTTGCCTGATGTTCTCACCTCTCTCATACAAGTGATCTCCAGTGTGAGGGGGATTTGCAACACGGTCCTTCTTCCACCTGCCATGACAGAGATCACTCACATCAGAGGCTCAGACTGTCAGGCAGCTGTTTCTTGACTGACAGGGGAGTGGATTGTTTGGCCCTTGTTCTTCCCAATGGTAAGTGGGTTTCAGAAAGGTTATGTCAAGGGACAATCTAAAAACATTTCCAGAACACTCAGTTCTTGTGGGTTTTTT